CGGACGGATCACCACTACCAACAGACGCTTCTGGCAACTATATCACTGATGATGGTACAATTGTAGAAAAAGACGAAGAGGGCAGACCACTAGGACCAGACGGCCAACCACTTCCCACAGATGACTCAGGAAATTACATCTACCCTGTTGTGGGTCCAGACGGTAGTCCCCTTCCCACCGATATGCACCGTCGTCCCATTTACCCAGTCGTTGGAAAAGATGGTAGGCCATTGCCCACTGACAGATCTGGTGCACCTATCGGCCCCGACGGAAAACCCATCCCAACAGACTCCAGCGGTAAGCCCCTCGGGGAAGACGGACAACCGCTTCCCACTGATGCTTCTGGCAACTATGTCACTGTTCCCTTGGAAGAGGCGGTTAGCAAAGAATTACCAACAGATGCGAGTGGCAATGTTATCTATCCGGTAACGAAACCGGACGGATCACCACTACCAACGGATGCTTCTGGAAAATACATCACTGATGAAGGCGTAATCATCGAAAAAGATGAGGAGGGCAGACCACTGGGACCAGACGGCCAGCCACTTCCCACAGATGACTCAGGAAATTACATCTACCCTGTTGTGGGTCCAGACGGTAGTCCCATTCCCACCGATATGCACCGTCGTCCCATTTATCCAGTCGTTGGAAAAGATGGTCGGCCATTGCCCACTGACAGATCTGGTGCACCTATCGGCCCCGACGGAAAACCCATCCCAACAGACTCCAGCGGTAAGCCCCTCGGGGAAGACGGACAACCGCTTCCCACTGATGCTTCTGGCAACTATGTCACTGTTCCCTTGGAAGAGGCGGTTAGCAAAGAATTACCAACAGATGAGAGTGGCAATGTGATCTATCCGGTAACAAAGCCGGACGGATCATCACTACCAACAGACGCTTCTGGCAACTATATCACTGATGATGGTACAATTGTAGAAAAAGACGAAGAGGGCAGACCACTGGGACCAGACGGCCAGCCACTTCCCACAGATGACTCAGGAAATTACATCTACCCTGTTGTGGGTCCAGACGGTAGTCCCATTCCCACCGATATGCACCGTCGTCCCATTTATCCAGTCGTTGGAAAAGATGGTCGGCCATTGCCCACTGACAGATCTGGTGCACCTATCGGCCCCGACGGAAAACCCATCCCAACAGACTCCAGCGGTAAGCCCCTCGGGGAAGACGGACAACCGCTTCCCACTGATGCTTCTGGCAACTATGTCACTGTTCCCTTGGAAGAGGCGGTTAGCAAAGAATTACCAACAGATGAGAGTGGCAATGTGATCTATCCGGTAACAAAGCCGGACGGATCACCACTACCAACAGACGCTTCTGGCAACTATATCACTGATGATGGTACAATTGTAGAAAAAGACGAAGAGGGCAGACCACTAGGACCAGACGGCCAACCACTTCCCACAGATGACTCAGGAAATTACATCTACCCTGTTGTGGGTCCAGACGGTAGTCCCCTTCCCACCGATATGCACCGTCGTCCCATTTACCCAGTCGTTGGAAAAGATGGTAGGCCATTGCCCACTGACAGATCTGGTGCACCTATCGGCCCCGACGGAAAACCCATCCCAACAGACTCCAGCGGTAAGCCCCTCGGGGAAGACGGACAACCGCTTCCCACTGATGCTTCTGGCAACTATGTCACTGTTCCCTTGGAAGAGGCGGTTAGCAAAGAATTACCAACAGATGCGAGTGGCAATGTTATCTATCCGGTAACGAAACCGGACGGATCACCACTACCAACGGATGCTTCTGGAAAATACATCACTGATGATGGTACAATTGTAGAAAAAGACGAAGAGGGCAGACCACTGGGACCAGACGGCCAGCCACTTCCCACAGATGACTCAGGAAATTACATCTACCCTGTTATGGGTCCAGACGGTAGTCCCCTTCCCACCGATATGCACCGTCGTCCCATTTACCCAGTCGTTGGAAAAGATGGTAGGCCATTGCCCACTGACAGATCTGGTGCACCTATCGGCCCCGACGGAAAACCCATCCCAACAGACTCCAGCGGTAAGCCCCTCGGGGAAGACGGACAACCGCTTCCCACTGATGCTTCTGGCAACTATGTCACTGTTCCCTTGGAAGAGGCGGTTAGCAAAGAATTACCAACAGATGAGAGTGGCAATGTGATCTATCCGGTAACAAAACCGGACGGATCACCACTACCAACAGACGCTTCTGGCAACTATATCACTGATGATGGTACAATTGTAGAAAAAGACGAAGAGGGCAGACCACTGGGACCAGACGGCCAACCACTTCCCACAGATGACTCAGGAAATTACATCTACCCTGTTGTGGGTCCAGACGGTAGTCCCCTTCCCACCGATATGCACCGTCGTCCCATTTATCCAGTCGTTGGAAAAGATGGTCGGCCATTGCCCACTGACAGATCTGGTGCACCTATCGGCCCCGACGGAAAACCCATCCCAACAGACTCCAGCGGTAAGCCCCTCGGGGAAGACGGACAACCGCTTCCCACTGATGCTTCTGGCAACTATGTCACTGTTCCCTTGGAAGAGGCGATTAGCAAAGAATTACCAACAGATGCTAGTGGCAATGTTATCTATCCGGTAACGAAACCGGATGGATCACCACTACCAACGGATGCTTCTGGAAAATACATCACTGATGAAGGCGTAATCATCGAAAAAGATGAGGAGGGCAGACCACTGGGACCAGACGGCCAGCCACTTCCCACAGATGACTCAGGAAATTACATCTACCCTGTTGTGGGTCCAGACGGTAGTCCCCTTCCCACCGATATGCACCGTCGTCCCATTTATCCAGTCGTTGGAAAAGATGGTCGGCCATTGCCCACTGACAGATCTGGTGCACCTATCGGCCCCGACGGAAAACCCATCCCAACAGACTCCAGCGGTAAGCCCCTCGGGGAAGACGGACAACCGCTTCCCACTGATGCTTCTGGCAACTATGTCACTGTTCCCTTGGAAGAGGCGGTTAGCAAAGAATTACCAACAGATGAGAGTGGCAATGTGATCTATCCGGTAACGAAACCGGACGGATCACCACTACCAACGGATGCTTCTGGAAAATACATCACTGATGAAGGCGTAATCATCGAAAAAGATGAGGAGGGCAGACCACTGGGACCAGACGGCCAGCCACTTCCCACAGATGACTCAGGAAATTACATCTACCCTGTTGTGGGTCCAGACGGTAGTCCCCTTCCCACCGATATGCACCGTCGTCCCATTTATCCAGTCGTTGGAAAAGATGGTCGGCCATTGCCCACTGACAGATCTGGTGCACCTATCGGCCCCGACGGAAAACCCATCCCAACAGACTCCAGCGGTAAGCCCCTCGGGGAAGACGGACAACCGCTTCCCACTGATGCTTCTGGCAACTATGTCACTGTTCCCTTGGAAGAGGCGGTTAGCAAAGAATTACCAACAGATGAGAGTGGCAATGTGATCTATCCGGTAACAAAACCGGACGGATCACCACTACCAACAGACGCTTCTGGCAACTATATCACTGATGATGGTACAATTGTAGAAAAAGACGAAGAGGGCAGACTACTGGGACCAGACGGCCAACCACTTCCCACAGATGACTCAGGAAATTATATCTACCCTGTTGTGGGTCCAGACGGTAGTCCCATTCCCACCGATATGCACCGTCGTCCCATTTATCCAGTCGTTGGAAAAGATGGTCGGCCATTGCCCACTGACAGATCTGGTGCACCTATCGGCCCCGACGGAAAACCCATCCCAACAGACTCCAGCGGTAAGCCCCTCGGGGAAGACGGACAACCGCTTCCCACTGATGCTTCTGGCAACTATGTCACTGTTCCCTTGGAAGAGGCGGTTAGCAAAGAATTACCAACAGATGAGAGTGGCAATGTGATCTATCCGGTAACAAAACCGGACGGATCACCACTACCAACAGACGCTTCTGGCAACTATATCACTGATGATGGTACAATTGTAGAAAAAGACGAAGAGGGCAGACCACTGGGACCAGACGGCCAGCCACTTCCCACAGATGACTCAGGAAATTATATCTACCCTGTTGTGGGTCCAGACGGTAGTCCCATTCCCACCGATATGCACCGTCGTCCCATTTATCCAGTCGTTGGAAAAGATGGTCGGCCATTGCCCACTGACAGATCTGGTGCACCTATCGGCCCCGACGGAAAACCCATCCCAACAGACTCCAGCGGTAAGCTCCTCGGGGAAGACGGACAACCGCTTCCCACTGATGCTTCTGGCAACTATGTCACTGTTCCCTTGGAAGAGGCGGTTAGCAAAGAATTACCAACAGATGAGAGTGGCAATGTGATCTATCCGGTAACAAAACCGGACGGATCACCACTACCAACAGACGCTTCTGGCAACTATATCACTGATGATGGTACAATTGTAGAAAAAGACGAAGAGGGCAGACCACTGGGACCAGACGGCCAACCACTTCCCACAGATGACTCAGGAAATTACATCTACCCTGTTGTGGGTCCAGACGGTAGTCCCCTTCCCACCGATATGCACCGTCGTCCCATTTACCCAGTCGTTGGAAAAGATGGTAGGCCATTGCCCACTGACAGATCTGGTGCACCTATCGGCCCCGACGGAAAACCCATCCCAACAGACTCCAGCGGTAAGCCCCTCGGGGAAGACGGACAACCGCTTCCCACTGATGCTTCTGGCAACTATGTCACTGTTCCCTTGGAAGAGGCGGTTAGCAAAGAATTACCAACAGATGAGAGTGGCAATGTGATCTATCCGGTAACAAAACCGGACGGATCACCACTACCAACAGACGCTTCTGGCAACTATATCACTGATGATGGTACAATTGTAGAAAAAGACGAAGAGGGCAGACCACTGGGACCAGACGGCCAACCACTTCCCACAAATGACTCAGGAAATTACATCTACCCTGTTGTGGGTCCAGACGGTAGTCCCCTTCCCACCGATATGCACCGTCGTCCCATTTACCCAGTCGTTGGAAAAGATGGTAGGCCATTGCCCACTGACAGATCTGGTGCACCTATCGGCCCCGACGGAAAACCCATCCCAACAGACTCCAGCGGTAAGCCCCTCGGGGAAGACGGACAACCGCTTCCCACTGATGCTTCTGGCAACTATGTCACTGTTCCCTTGGAAGAGGCGGTTAGCAAAGAATTACCAACAGATGCGAGTGGCAATGTTATCTATCCGGTAACGAAACCGGACGGATCACCACTACCAACGGATGCTTCTGGAAAATACATCACTGATGAAGGCGTAATCATCGAAAAAGATGAGGAGGGCAGACCACTGGGACCAGACGGCCAGCCACTTCCCACAGATGACTCAGGAAATTACATCTACCCTGTTGTGGGTCCAGACGGTAGTCCCATTCCCACCGATATGCACCGTCGTCCCATTTACCCAGTCGTTGGAAAAGATGGTCGGCCATTGCCCACTGACAGATCTGGTGCACCTATCGGCCCCGACGGAAAACCCATCCCAACAGACTCCAGCGGTAAGCCCCTCGGGGAAGACGGACAACCGCTTCCCACTGATGCTTCTGGCAACTATGTCACTGTTCCCTTGGAAGAGGCGGTTAGCAAGGGATTACCAACAGACGGAAGTGGAAAAGTCGTGTATGCGGAGACGAAGCCCTATGAGTCACCTGTGGAAGAGTGGAGCACACCTGCTGCTCCTACAGACGAGTCCGGAAATTACATCTACCCAATCATTCGCCCTGATGGAACCCCTCTTGGCACTGAGAAAAGTCAAGTTCTAACGGGTGTTAGTGACAAACCTCTGCGTTATGTGGCCGTATACACCGATGGAAGGCCTCTTCCTACCAATGAATATGGTAGCCCTCTGGGCGATGATGGACATCCTCTCCCTACTGATGATATGGGAAGACCAGTGGATAGCTCCTATGTCCCTTATCCTACAAATAATCTTGGTGAATATATAATCCCACCTAGCAGGCGGCCATCACAGTACTGTTTCATATCATCTCACATCGAGCTTATTGTTGTTCTCGACACATCCAATACCGTGAAAGTTCTGGACTATCGTGTAATGAAGGAACTTCTCAAATCGTTCTTGTCAGATCATTTCGATCTGTCACAAGATAAGGTCCGCGTTGGTGTTGTGAAGTATGGAGACACAGCGGAGGTTCCAATTTCACTCGGAGACTATGATAATGTTGATGACTTGCTACATCGAATTAGTGAAACGCGAAGAGTAAAGGGAAAGCCACAACTGGAGTTAGCCCTGAAAGAAGTCGCTGGTGAGCTACTCATCTCTGGAAGTGAAGATGTACCGAAATTTGTACTCCTGCTCAAGAATGGTCAATCAACGTAGGTGTTACTGTACTTATCATTTCAGTATTCTCCATCCTTTTGTGGGATTGTGTCCCCTTCCAGTAATGCTGTACCTGCTTTACTAATGAAGTGTTACTAACTCTAACGTATTCTCACACAGATAACAACTCGGATCTGATTTCGCTTTGATTAATCGTGTAGGAAGAAATAAACATAGTCGTATATTGTGGAATGTTGTAAAGTAGACTAGCGATAAATCTCGAAGGCTGGGTCTTTTTCAAGTGCTTCAAATCTTTTTTCTGGCATTAGAGTCGGAAAGAATATTAAATGCAAAAGAAAAACCGTATATAAAAAGAGGCCTTAAACATGCGATCTCTCTTCTCCCCTCTCATCAAGAAAAAATCAGGAAATTCAAAAATTAGTTCTATTTTATTTCTTTAGTGGCGATTTCCAAGAAGCAGCAGAAGCACTGAGGGATGATATAGGAGCTACTGTATTCATAGTGGAAGCGGGAGATGAAGCGAGCTACGGTCAGGATAAAGAGATCACGTCTGACGACAAAGTGATCCGTATAAAGCAATGGCGAGGAACCGATTCTGAAGCGCTGGGCCCCATCGCTGACATGATCTGCAAGGTTTACATCTCAGTGTTTCTCAAAATATCATAGTAAAAAATTGTGTTTTAGATTGTGCCAGCAGATCTCTCTTCTGGAATAACATGGCCGACTAGAAAGACCACACAAGTCTCAACACCGTCTCGTTCCTGCAGCCAAATTGATTATCCGGTCAGTCAATCACGAATATTAGCTTTCGCATTTGAGCATCTTAGTTAGAGGTTATGCTGCTCAAGTACATCAGCAGTCGATAATAATCAAGTCTCCACTTGCACTTCCTTCTTGCGTCCTGAAAATGCTGCACTTCGCCCGACCATCCGCTAGTGTTGCCCTTGTCCATTTAGTGGTCCCTACAATCACCACTGAAAAGTATTTGTCCCCATCCTCGACAGTCTTCACGCGATCTCAAGACTGTGCAGATGTATCTGCACAGTCTTGAGATCGCGTGAATACTATCTGTGCAGATGCCGAGATCTTCCGCAGTATTATAGAAGTATTAGGTATAGGCCGTCCGCGCAGGGCGCGGAGAGTGCGCAAGGTGTGTATTGCGCGTCACTCCTCTTTCCCCGTGCACTCTCGCCGCCTGTTTTTCTCTGCGCTCAACTATCTTCACGGACGCAACAACGTTGCTCTCCGCGCGCAGCGCGGACGGCCTATAACCTCCATTGCATTTGAGCACGGCGCTTTTTATAAAAGACAATTTGAAATTGCGCCCTTGTTTTCGAAGGGACAAATCAAGTATAACTAAATGCAGAACCCATGAAAATCTGGGCGCCTAGACTTCTCATGTGAATACTGGTTGCAGAGCCTTAACTAAGATATCACCCGAACGGCAGACATATTTGTGACTTCAGTTTCAACCCTTCCCAAATCTTAGCCTTCTCGAGCGGACCAATCAACGTGCTTGAGATAGAAAGTAACATCGGGGTCGAGATTTGAAGTTGAATTTCTCGGTCACTAGTGAACCATATAAGCTGCTGCTCATGCAGTGATTTGAAAGTCCCTTTTAATCAAACACCTTTGGATTTCAGTTACCTAGATTTGTCATTTAGTCAACGTATCAGCCTAATATCGAAAATCTATTCAAGTGCCATCATCTTGTCAAAGCGATGGCAATTTTTATAGGCTGATGTGATCATCATGCTAGACTCATCCGAGAACTTCTCACCTGAAGAGTTTGACGAAATGAAAGAAAGTGTTGCTGAGTTGGTGGATGCTGGATTTGACCTCGCTCCGGATGTTGCACGAATTGGCTTTGTTGTTTATAGGTAACTTTGAACCACTGCATCAAGGGACTTTGTTGCAATATCTTCTTTTTAGTGACAAAGTCGCTGTTCCTGTGGCTCTTGGACACTATGAAGATAAGATCGACCTGATCCAGCAGATTTCCGATTCAACAAAGATCAACGACGGTGTTGCAATTGCTCTGTACGGTCTCAATGCGGCCAGACAACAGTTCCAGGTTTTTTTAAAATTTTCTTCCTTTATGAAAGCAGCTAAGTGAAGTTGATTCAGCTGCATGGAAGGGAGAATGCAACTCGGATAGTAATCATGATCACTAACGGAAAGAACAGGTATGGCTGCACTTTCCCTTGCCGTCTTAGGATTGGCTTCTATCGAATCTTCTATCTATCTCTTCCATCTATCTTTTTAGAGGCAACGCAGCTCCGGCCGCTGAAGACCTTCGAAATATGTACAATGTGCAGCTCTTTATCATTGCTGTCAATGCAGATAGCGAAGGATTGGCCACTTTGAAGAGAATAGCAGGTTCGAAAACTTGCCATACTCCAGGTATCCACCAGGAGCGAAAATGTGCAAATGTTGCAGGAACCGAGTACCCTGATCGCGTTTATGAGGTTGGCACTGCGTTCGAACTCGACAATCAGATTGCTTCCATCAGTCGCCGCCTTTGTGGCTACACTACCCCAGCTCAAAGCTACCCGACTGAACCCACATGGTTCCACCGCACTACGAAGAGAGATGTACAAGCAGTGTGAGTAACACAAGCAGAATGTACTCTATTTGAAAATGAGCCTTTGTTCTCTCAGTGCGGGAGAACTTTGGGCTACTCCACGATCGCTGCGTTACCCACCGCTATGCAGTGATGGTATCAAACGACCTTACCAGATAAATATCCTTGTTGATGTGACAGCACGATCTTCACCAGAGGTAAGTCTTTGTGCTATTGGATACATAAGCTTTAACGTCCCTGAAAATCCGTCAATTGTTGTATTTCTGAGATATCTAAAAAAGTCTTTTGTAGTAATAAAAGTGAGATTAATAAAGTTCTTGTGCTCAGTGGACTTAAAAATGGAACAAAGGTTACGACTCGAAGGCGCCGCCTCTGCGAACAAGTGGTTCTTTCGTACATGCTGTTACCTGGTGTACGAGGAACATTGTCCGCAGAGGCGGCTCCTAATGGCGATAATTGTTCTTTTAACCGTTCTTCAAAAAACACTTGTTAATTTAATAGCTTTCGAAACAGCAGCTCCCTCGACAAAGAGTGCAACAAGACTTAATATTAAAGCTGCTAACCCCCCTCCCCTCCCCCTAGAAAATGAGTGAAGTGCGAAATTTTTGAAGATAGTCTGCATAAGTCATAAGATTGTGCAGATGATCTGTTCTAACTGTAGAAAAAATCAAAATATTTTTAAAATTTTTTTAAAAAAGCAATTTTTCTAATTTTTGAAATTTTGATGTAACATGGACTTACATTATAATTATGAGATGGATTCCATCATTTTTCGTTTTTCATCCGATTGTTATGATTTAGGATTTCCGATTGGTCTTGGATCATCTCACACAATTCTTCCAAAAGAGATTCGCTCAAGATGACCACATGTTAATGTAAGACCACATATTTTTGTAATGATTCAAAAAAATCAAATTTTTAAGGTTCAATTTGATGACTGTGAACAGTCAGAAAGTTTTGGACGCGAGAGCTGGTTTATCTGTCAGAGATATTGAAGTGGCACTGAATGATGTGATTCAAGACAGGTAAGGATGCCGCAAATCATGCGTCACAAGCAGCGTTTTCTCGCAGTTCTCAACTATCGTGACTGATTTCTTTTAGCGATGACGAAGAATCTGCAAAACTCGGCTCTGGTATTGACAGTCTTGTAGAAATGTCCAATGATAACTACATCAAGGGTTCCTACAAGATCATGCTTATCATCAGCGCAGACAGCACAAGCAGGTATGCTAAAGAAGATCCTGTAGAGAAAAATGATCTCAACGATTATGAATCTAGCGACGCGGCAGTTCCATCGGCAGAGTTTGCATCTGGTGACTTCGGACACAACATAATAGGACTGTCAGTTCGAAAACCATCCACAGACTTACTAACTACTATGGCTGGCGTGGGCACGAGGTCTGGAAAGGAATTTTGAGAAAATACTATGACATCGCTTTCAATTTTAGAGTTATCCACCTTGACTGGACATCGCCAAACGAACTTTTCAATAGTTGGTTCGCTTACGCAATCTGCGATTATGTGATGGCGACTACGGCCAAAACACCTGCGCTGACCACCAAGCCAAGACCAACAGTCACGAAGAGAATTACCGGTATTTTATATAATTGATTATGGTCGATAGGGTTTCCTAGAAATCCCAAATTCAGCAACACCAGCTACTCTTACAGTTCCAACGAATGTGGAAGCAGTCCCTATGTCTCCAACATCTTTCTTACTAACCTGGACTTGCTGCACCAACATTAAATCGGTACTTATTTTTGATTATATTGACTGTATCTGAACGCCGGTTTCTTCCAGAACTACACCATCATGTACACGCATGATCCATCTATTCCGTACGATCATTGGCCACAAAGATCGGCCACTTGCAGAGACAGCTTTGGAACTATGATCAATGTAATTATTTGAGCTAATTTTGCTGACACGCTAATTCATTAATTGCAAAATATTAAGGACTTACCAACCGATCATACATATACTGTCTGTGTCGTTTCTACGAATGCTGCGGCTCCATTTGACAAAGACAGCTGCACAGAAGTGACAATCAACAAGAGTCAGTGATTTTGATTTTGAGAACCTGAAATAACGCGAGAAATACACTCAGTGTTCATGAATTACCCAATATTACAGATACAACAGTAGAGGAACATCAACCATTAGATATTGCTCCTTGTAATTGTCTCTGTACGCAAGGCAAAGCGATATTGAGACCGACCTGCGATGTACAGGTTGACGAATATCGTCCAATTGCTACTCTACCACCAGCAACTGAAGATGAATGTCCTTGCAAGGTTTGTATCTGAAAGAGTGGAAGCTTAGTTCAAATATTGGACTTTCAGATCAAGGCACATGCAGGCAGATGTCCATTTGGATATGTGTTCAAGAGAGGCAGTTGCTACGGTATGTACTTTTGCCCAAGGTCACATTTACTCCCTAAGAAGCTCTTTTGATGGGACTAAGTTGACTAGCGGAGATCAAAAAATCAGAACATCAGATTTTGATTTCAAAGAAATTTACGTTGCTTTAAGTTCAAAAGTCATAAAACCACTCAGTCACCACCATGTAATCAGTGCATAACGGAGCTTTGTGATTGATTTATCAAACTAGTCTCAAAAAAAGTCTAGCAGTGTAGAACGAAACTCGGCAGAGTTCGGAATTTGCATCGGTGCTTGAGTGTCGGCATGAAAAAATACACGGACAGGCAACAGAGCCCTCACCGGATCGTGATAATGTGATTTTTGGATGTTTGAATTTTATGCCTTGTCATTTGAGAAGACGACAACGACTTCCTCTATTCTTGACATCATGGGTAAAATAACCAGCCTTTCAAAATCTGAGATAATACCATCACATCGGACAGAGTACTTAAAGATTGCCTTTTAGTCGATATGCTCATTTGATCCGACTTAAAGGCAATGGATCGGCTAAATGGATCCTAATCAGATTTTGGTAGCGTTAGGTAGTAAACCCCAAGAACACCGTAGCCCCATCCCTACCATACAATTCATGTGCTGAGTCGTGAGAACGCGCTTCAAAATCCACCAGCCCCGCCCACTTCCACTGAGTGGGCGACACTGGTGGAGATTGAAGCGCATTTCAGGATTCAGTGCATTGCATGAATTGCATGGTGGGGTGGGGCTACGTATGGTGATTGTATGGTAATTGTTTGGTTACTTGGAGGCTACTACCTAACGTTACCAAAACTTGACTAAGGCCCATTTTGCCGATCACTGCCTTCAGATCTCCAATAGCTCCGGGTCCAATTTGGATCACAATGAATACAACTAATAACAAGAGAAAAGACTAGGAATGGTTCCAATCGAACTTATGACTGAACCGCTGTTTAATAAATTCTTGTATATTTTCGAGTTATAGTATTAGGGATCAAGTATCGTCGATTTGTTGACCGCAAGGACTGCTAAAATGCTACGGACCACGCGCGGCGCGCCTGAAATGTTGTGAGAGCACGATTTGTACTATGGTGAATTTGTACTGAGGCAAGCGCTTTACCTCGCGGCGCGTGCTCCGCAGTGAGGTCCCGTCCGTGAAGTCAGCAAACCGATATACTTGTCTATACCTTGTGATATAATCTCCATTCCTGCTCGATATTCAATAGAATAAACTTACCTCTTCCCAGATATTGATGAATGCGCAAATGGAAATGGCGGTTGTTCCCACGGTTGCGTGAACACTCCCGGTGGCCATTACTGTGCTTGCCCACACGGAATGACGAGGGATCCGCTCGATCCAAACACTTGCGTGAATGCCGCAAACGCGTAAGTTCCTAAAATTCGGTGATTTCATTCACGGCGCTGAACTGTTACTTCCAGATTTGATCGCATCGCACAACTTCTAGCTCAGTACCTTCATGCTAACGCTAAACAAGCAGCTGCAGGCGTCACCGCTAAAGATGGCGCCCAACCTTCGCAGAAAATGAAATACAAGGTAGGTGTAAGTTCTGCTCAAAGAATATCTGAAAATAGCATTCGCACAAAAAAACGCCCCTGCTTCAGGCTACAATCAAATCCGGCGATGACAAAGTCATCACATTCGAATGGGCGTCAATGCCAGCAGTGGTGCGACGCGCCTTCAAATGGCTGTTCTAATCATCAAACAATTAACTTCTCAATCACCTCAACGAGGAAAAACCCGATCTTCATTGATTTGCTTTCGAGTATGACAGTTCAATGTACTATGCTGTCTTACCGTTGTATTTTTTGATCAAATCTTTCCCTATTCCCTTCTTTTCTTTCCTATTGTCCATTGCCACATACGTCATTTCCTAATATTCATAATAACTGCCCTGTGTTTTCCTGCATTGCCTTGATAATAATAGAGTTCCCATTATTACTGGTTGAATAAACTTCTAAATTAACCCACTAACAACAAACAAAGGAGCGGAATGGCGAGAAAATTCCATGATGGAGGTGCCGTATAATGACATACAAAAGTGATTGGATTTATCGTAGGGTTTCGACCGCACAGAACGCACGCGGGTTGCGGAGTACGCGCCGCAGGGGTGCGGCTTGTACCATCGCGGTTTGTCTTGGTACAGGGCAGTGCGGCACGTGCCCGCGTGCTCTGCTAAGGCCGTCCGTGCGGTCAGCGGCTCGACAGTATGCTGCTGGTCGCACACATCGCCAAGGCACGCGCCGTACTTGATCCGATTTGATCCTGATCAATAGCGAAGGGATGCAGCAGACAAGTGGATCAAGTGGACAACCGCTTCGCTATTGGTCAGCTCACTGAATCGACCAATGACGAAGCTGATTAAGCGCATCGAGTGGATTAAGCAGATAAGTATGGCGCGTAAAGGCTGCTGCATGACGAAGGCGCAATGACGATATTAGTTGAGCGTGCGCGAAAGAGACGTGCGCGTATCCTCACCATTGTAGATCCCGCACCTCATGCGCTCTGCGGCTAATAAAGCCGCGTTCGCGCCCGAAGGTATTGCGCCTTCGTCATGCAGCAGCCTATACCTAAGTTACTAATGCGCCTACTTGTCTGGGTCTACATACACAACGAGCTCAAAGACTGCTCAACACCATCATAGCTCGTTCCTTTTCTGTTGAGGACCATCAAAATAAAATAATTTTTATGTCCCTCAAGGGAACGATCCCAACCCAAAAGCAGCGTACAGACGTATACTAAGCCTCCCCGATTATTACCTAACCTGAGTGTGGACCTCAGGAGAGGGGTATCTGCGTTGGTCCAGTTCTCAAAACTTTTCTCTGAATAGATAAAATGGACCTGGAATGGCTATGGTATTGGAAGGACATGCAACAACACTGCAAAAAGACCAACTGGCCGCGAAAGGAGGCTCAAACTGGCGCCTTTCGTCCCCCTACCCCTGGAATCCACGGAGGTGCTATCAAGCCAGGCCCACCCTATCAAACCCCGCCCATCCAAGACTGACAGGAGTTCACGCCTTCAGGACAAGATCCCCAAAATCGGGGTTTTTTAGGATTTTGCACATTTTGAACTTCATGACTGTGATCAAGGCTACGGAAAGGTCTTGAAATGAAAAAAATGGCGTAGTTTTGGGTGGACGCTGTCTTTAAGGTGGCGAACTGGAATGAGCCGCATATCATTGGATGCGTCTTGATGGGCTGATTCCAAATCTCTAATGCTTTCCATATCTGCGATGGAAGAAGTTTAGGAGCGATTGAAAGTCTGAAGCAGGATTTTATGGTACACTGTGCATCAAAATCCACTTGGAGTGCATGAATAGCATGATATGGACTTCATTTTGATATAGGCTGATTAAGGAATACTGAAATTTACCGGAAGCACAAGTGATTGTTCTTGAACAACTGGTTCGTGAAGGTGTGGCGTTAAATGCTTGCCAAATTTGGAGTTCAAAATGCTCATATATTCCTCCAAAGAAGCACTTTGGAGATATGGAAGGCAAAAATGGAATCACGTCATCAAGAGGCATCTTATGACTAACGGCTAATTCCAGTCTGCCATCTTAACTTGGGATCGTTCCCTTGTTAGAGCTAGAGCGCCAGGGTCAAATTTGTGAGGTCTCAAACAACTTGGCGTTTTTGACCTTAGCGAGTTCCGCATTCAGTCGTCCATGTCATAAGGCCTAGGGCATACTTCCAGCAATTCCGTCAAATCGTTAGCGCGACTTGGCGATTTGCCAGATGTCTATAGATTTACCCTGCGAGGGTCCCAACTGCACAGGCACGTAGCTTCTGTGAGTTGTTGCAAAAGCATGATGCCCAATTAAAGCGTGCTTACGACGAGTTATTAAAGGCAGTGGCTCGGCAAAACCAAACATCCCGAAATTTTGATATGGAGGATTGCTTGCACAGGACAGAGCAGGTCTGAGCGCACTACATGCTCCTCCTGCCTAGAAAACTGCCTCTAAACCCGTGCGCGCAAGTCATTCTTAGGCTGCGTTCATACTGATCCCGAAGTTTGGGAACAGTTCCAGCACAGCGCTCAAAGTGAGCGTTGTGCTGGGACTGTTCCCGGATTACGAAATCAATATGAACGCAGCCTTACACGCGCTCGGACGATTGCTTTCCCAATCCCACCGTCAGAGGCGGCATGTCGCAAGCTATAAACATGAGGGTCCCGCAACGACTCTACGTCTCTAACGCGGAGAGTACTTCACTCGTCCAAATTCAAAATGGAAACCCTTTGAAAATGCTTGTTTTCAACATTCTCTTGCTCTTCAAAGTGTATTTTCGAAGTCAGCGCGTCGAATTATCCCAAGTAAGCAAAAAAACTTCAGGTCGAGGATTTGTCGAGCCACTGCCTTTGAAGAGTCGTTGCGGTGCCAAATCCCGCAGCGACTGAATCGCGTCAGGTAGGCACGTAAAATTTCGGACGGCCTCTAGACGTCATTTAGCAGCTCCTCGAGATACAGTTTTATAACTACTGTAACAAAAAAGCACGTAAGAGAAACTAGGAGACAAGGATGCTATTGGGAGTTCAAGTAGTGTAGCGGATGCTGCCTGCAAGAGGATGGATGGTCGATGACCTACTGTCTTCAATGAAACTCTATTTGTGTGGTCAAAAATAAGCTTGTTTCACATTGACATTTGCTCATCAGCTTTCCTCAACTTTCAGCATCACAAAATGACACTAACTACAAAGAAAATGGCGGAAATAGCGTAATTCGCACATTCGTTGGTGCAACGCGGTGTCAAAAACACTCAAAAGAGAATTTGGCTTTTTTGACCCTTTGCAGATTATTTTTTATGCCCGCATGTATCTACTTATGCAAGAACCAATTTCATACGGTTTTCTCGTTAACTTTTTTTTTGTCAAAAAAGCAGTACGGATGGAATTCTGCTTCTCACAAGTGAGGGATACTTGGTCGAAGTGCAGTTTCCATATGAGATGTATACTCTCTTATAGAGCATGGAACGCTGATTTCAGATCTGCTTTCTGAATCTGCAAAGCGCTTCTGGGATGGGAGCAGTGAGCTATTTTTGGCGCGAAAAACATTCAACGGGAGCTCACAGACTACATTCCCGAATGTTTTTATTGTAGCCGCGCGTTCCACTTTGTGCCTCTATAATTTTCCATAACTCCCTTCCCAGAAGCGCTTTGCAGATAGCGAAGCAGATTCAGAATCAGCGTTCCGTGCTCCATAAAACAGTATATATTTCCTATGGAAGCGCCACTTCGACCAAGTATCCTTCCCTTGTCAGACATCCATGATTGAGTGGACTTGATAGAGCGTCTTTTTATGTTAAAACCTCAACACATCCATAGATTGATTTTTGCATATTAATGAGCTCTTTCCACTTTAGGAAACCTTTGCTGTTCAAGATATTGCGTCAGTGCCACAATCGTTCTAAGGAATTTTTACGACCAAGAGATCTTGCAAATATTTTTACTATGCATATATGACATATAACCCAGATAGGCAAATCACATGAGAGCGTCTCGAGTGACCAGTTCGAGACCATGTGAAATTGCTATACACGAAGACCACGCACAACACAAACAGCTCTAATTACGCTATGTATACATTGTTAGCATGCTAGCGTCGAGGAGGGAGTTACTTGCACACTCTGCAAGTCTTGGCACATTTTCCTTTCAGAGAAGCCCATTTCGAATCGTCGCAGAATGAACGGAACACACCGCAGTGATCTCCTAAATATTAGCTATGACGAAGAAAATGCAAGGAAACACATGGAAATTACCTAGCGCATCTGCACAGGCTGCAGGGGCAGCTGCTTCACTGTAAGAAAAGGCGAACATGGCGAACACAAAGAAGATGGCCAGGATCTGAAGCGAATTTGTGTAATTGCAGAGATTGCCTTCACCTAGTGAGACTTACACGAACGCTGAACATGATGGTTGCGGTGGTGAAGAATGCATGACTATCGTTCCTTATATAGGATCGTCCTAACAATGCAACCATATCCGTTTTCGCAACTACTGTTTGTACAGACAGCTCCCGCCTGCTAACGACTGCCTCGATTCTTTTGCGGTGGGCACAGCTGCCGCATAGTCAACCCACGCCAGCTAGATGATACAATAATGACATATTTGAGCACTGGGTACAAATCCACAAAAAATGCAGAGTATTTCTCTGCAGCAATGTAAATATGGAATAACACGATACAGTGATGAATAGGGAAAGCAGAGTTGCCAGTTCTAGTGAACTGCACGGTTGCTCAGGCCTGGTGCCTCGCTAATACTTGAGACCAGAAAATCTAAAGTATTTTCCGATTTCTCGATTGCATGCTAATGCCAAATGCCATAAATAACAAATATTGTGTCCCGTAATTCGTTCCGTTTTCCATATCTCTCGCAGTGACTCATACTCACTTTCTTCTTGCTTCTTGCACAGGTTTTGCGGCAGCATTGAACAGAACAGAGCAAGCTCCACAAGAAAGCGCCCAACAAATGCTCAAAGTTTGTTCCACTTAAAGTTGAAAGCCGAAGTTCAAGAAAATCTACATGCCCAAAAAGTGGAGAAAAGAATCATATTTCCGTTCAAGAATTTCCCACGGATTCCCTACTTGCTCAATCCGTGCTCTCTACAACTGAGATTTATATTGAAATTGCTTTTCCTTCCTGGCTAGAGCTCGAGAAACATACTTACACCGAAACAGATCAAAGCACGAAACAGGCGTTTTCGGAGTTCGCGCTAAAATATATCTCAAAAATATTGCCTGTAAAAAGCCAATTTCATATTTTACTTCCAAAGCTTCATACCATAGGATAACCTGCGCGATAGCAAGCCAGCACCTTTGAAAAATCATTAAAATAACTTTCTTATTCATTGCTAACCAAGCAAAAAATTAGCAATCTACAGATCTACGAACAATCGATGTGAAGTACATATCGCAGCATGTAGGGAGTTTGTAGAAATTTTTTAAACGAGATGCGATTTCTCTTTCTAAGCATTTAAATCTCCTTGAATTTCAGGTACAAACTCTATGTAGAACAAACTTTGAGCAAATATTTGGGTGCCTCTTGTAGAGCCTGCATTGCTCTGTCGATTGGTATTGCAGAAAGTATTTGAAAAATTAGAAGAACATGAGCAGAAAGTAAAAACGGCAAAAAATTTGGGCAGCTGATAATAACAAAGCGCGGACGACCCAGCACATGTATATTTTGAAAATAACGTTTATTCTGTTGCAATATTTCCACAAATTTCCGTTTGGAAAAATTGGATTTCATGTATGATTATGCAACCGGTGGTAATGATTCAAAATGATCATTTTGCATTACTTGTTTAAAAAAGCATTGCAATTAGGTGTATATACAAAATCAAGGAATGCCACGAAAGTCACATTATGCATGTTTCTGTCTCTTCTTATTTTCGTTCTTTTACGCCTTCTTCTTTCCCCCTCCCCCTCCTCCCATGTCTACTGTGGTAAAAACAGGGGGCTTTAGGATGGTTGGCACTTTTATTATAAATCAATTTCCACATCCTCAGTTCCTAAGCTTAAATTCGCTTTGCATCATAAAAAGAAGAGAAACTTCGCGCTTTACTTCAATTATACAAATGCAAGAAATACTGCTAAGAACCCACTAGCTAGCCCCATTTAGCCTGTAGAAAATTCTTACATAGCAGTAGTTCATATCTCCGCCTCAAAGGTACTGTCTCACTAAAATTTGGTTGCCGAGATTATTGGATTTTATAGGCATATCGGACCTGTAACAGTGTAGGGACTTGAAACCGTACGAAATTCCCAAAAACCCCGTTCTTGGAGCCCGCGCGGAACCAACGGGGACGAGTTGTGCCTTCTCACTTAAAGGCAGCGTCCGGGCAAAATTTCGCCTCTTATGTTTCTGCCATTCTGGGGCCTTTCCGTGGCCCTGATTACAGTTGTAAAGTCCAAATTGTTCAAAACGCCCAAAAAACCCGGTTCCTGGGGACCCTCTCTTCAAGGAGCGGACGAGTTTCGAATTGCTCGTTTCCATCGTCATGCCAGCGGGAGGGGCTGCAATTGCACGGATGCAGTTGCATTGCAGTGTGCAGTGCAACTGCAATGCAACTGCAATGCAACCGCACACCTGCGTAAGCACTCGTCCTCAGGGGTGGTTTGTGATACGGAGGGGCGGAGTCCGGAGAAGTCGCCTGTGCGTACCAAATCGCTCTCCGCGTACCACTTTGAGCAAATTTTTCTCAGCTTGGAGGGGGTCACATTGAGTGGGACTTGTTGCAGTGGCCTACTTAGAGGGTCCTACAGTAGAATATGCGAAAATCCGCGCAACCTCAATTTTGGTGAGACGCTGCCTTTAATTTCGACTGCAAAAGAAAACCTGAAACTTATAAAACATATCATTATGCAGGAAATCTCTTTATGACGGCGCTGCTATAGCGACAGTGTTTGACGCCTAAAGGAAAAATTACACTGTTTACGGTAATCACTAGGTCAAGTTTCTGTTTTTGACCTTTGTCATGTAAAAGATGCTGTAGATTTTCCCGGCACAATGATAATTCTAGTCTAACCTTTCGTTTTTGCGTTTCCATGCGAATTGAAGAATACCGCAGTAACCTATGGACCACTACACTGTAAGGATTTTATACTGAATATCTGGGGCTGGATAAGTCATTTTGGTATTTTCACGACCAAACTCAAAATCGAGATCCAAAGTGATGCTCTTGAAACTTATCCAGTACGAGACAGCGGTGCTTCAAATAACTACCGCAAAACGTGAACCTTCTTCTCAGATAGGTATGCATAACTTGAGATTTTGCAAGTTTAGAATGCACCTAACCACAAGTTCTGAAAAAAAATTCCACCAATGCAAAAAATATTACAGTGAACATTTTGCTCCTTTTATATTAAGTCTAATTTTTGGAAAATTACAGAAAAATGTCTAATTTGGCCATATTTGAACCATTATGTAAATGCTAAATCGAAGTTGTTCAGTAATTAAGGTGCAGGATTTAGACATCTAAATATCAGTGCAGAGAAAGAAGGCTTGGAAACGCAATTGTGAAGTAATTTTCTGTAAGTCTGTAATCTTCCTAACTCAAAAAGAACACCCTTTGGACTTCAGTATAAAAGATGCCTTTGAAATAAGAACTTCACCTTGATTTACAAACTGCAGGGACTAGTAATTTTTATGCAGAAAAGCTCTGCATGCGAGTTTGTTATAGAATAAATTAATGTTAAACGTCTTGGAAAGCACAGACCTAGATATTACTCCGACTTTGTGTTGAGCTGTATGTATTTGAGTGCAATGCATAGTCGACAATAAATGGCATTTTGTCAGATGTGAAGAGGCGGAAAATAGAATATCTACAAAACTAACTTTGTAGTATCAGGTCTAGTTTGGCTAGATTTCGACTACCCTATTTTCAGGTATATAATAAGCCGCACCCTTTTGCTCTAAGGGCGAACACGCCAAAAGGCTGCATGTTGCCATAGGGCGCGTTAAGTGAGAGCAATGTGCGAGAAAGCGACCGCTTTACGGGACACATGCGCAGCGGCACGCATGGGTTTGCTCGCGTTTAGAGCAAAAGGGTCCGGCTTAAACATCTCAAAATAGGGTAGTATGATGGGAATGAGTTACAAAAATAAGCGAATAGGTCAAGGCAAGCTAAAAAAGGTTTGCTAGCATTTTTTCATGAAATAATGATTTCGCGAATAGTATCTATGTCTTATCACTCCGCATGGACTAAGCCCATTTTATTCGCGTTTCATGCTCGAAAGGCCCATCTTCAAATGGACTTTCGTGGATGTCATTACTGCAGTCACCCGCAAGATTTCGCGATTAACGCGAGGAACTGATAAATTCTCAGCTAAAAAAAAATTCACATTGCTGCCTCATTCACAGCCTTACAAAAGAAACTCTTCCAGTACAAGTTTTCTACTATCTAGCCCGGAACACTAATGAGCCTACTGATATCGCGTATCAGTGCTTTCGGCTGCGTTTTCGATGCGTGCTGTGATCGCTTTGGTTTCGCTGTACTCGCTGGTAACGGCTTCGAAGCTATGTCTACAGGCACCCTGCATCCCTCAGGTAAACTCGCAATCTTACCTAGGTTAGAGCGTTGCTAAAACACAGATCCTCAGGCCATTGATGCGGATTTCACGTTTATTATCGATGCTTCTAGCGCTGATTCAGGAAACGATTTTTTTAAGGTAGGTATAACGGAGAGTTCTTCCATGCGTCATTTCGAAATATTCACTTCTTTTCAGCTAAAACAATGGCTTCTTGATTTTATCTCGCAATTGACATTGACAGACGCAGATACACAGGTGATGATTCTTTAGAGATTGCAGTGGCATGAGTATATGCTAGCTTGTGGAATTATGGAAAATAAGATACGGAAGGTTCCGCGGAAAAAAATACGATTACCTACTCACCACGATTATTTTCATGAAAAAATTCCTTCTGATGGAATTGCAACAAGTAGGGATCAATAGCATACAAATAATAACTTTTTTCCTTTTCTATCTCACATCCTCGACATATCATAGCCAGTTGCACATATGCAGGTAAAGGGTCCCTTCTTTCTTTCCCTCTCCCTCCTTTAGCCTACAAGTGGCAGTAAAGGCAGTGTCCCTGCAAAGTTTCGCTACTGGTTTTTCACCTCTTCGGAGCCTTCTCGTCATGCTGAAGCCATATCTGAGCTTTATAGCGCTTGAAAATGGCAAAAATGAGCTTTTTTCGAAGCTCGTGTCCGCGTTCGTTCCAAATTACGTGTAAGAAGTGGGCGGGGTCTGGGAATGGGCGGGATCCGGAAGATTTCCAGAGGGGATTTTGGGCTTTCCAGAAAGGCTTTTCTGCTTCACTACACTGATAGACTATCTGGAGGGCTTACCACTAAAATACTGTGAAATCACGGTACGCGTCATTTCGAGGCGATGCTGGCTATAATTCTTTGCAGCACAATCGAGCGCGATAAGCTTCTTTGGTGAAGCAAGACTAATACATACTTGTAGATCATGAACTCGAAATGTATTCCTATGAATAGAAACAACTTTTAAGGTAGCAATCTATACGTATGCGGCTACAGCCAAGTCATATGGCAGCTTGTCGGCAAGCAATAACAGAACGGTCCTCATAAACTCGATCAACTCTATCGTACAAGAATACACCAGCTCTAAAGACCTCTATCAGTGAGTACTTGCGAATACTGTGAACCGAATGATAGAATAATAAGTATTTTTAGGGTACTCACGAAGGAGGAATCAGAGGTCGTAGCATCGACAGGTTTTCGCAGTGGATATAAGCATATCATGGTCGTCATATCTGCTGATGCGTGAGTTCGGATTCTTGACCTCTACGTGGTTGAAGTAATTTGTGAAATTCAAGATGGACAGGAACAAACGTCATTGGCAGCCCGTTACTGAAACAAGTCCAGAAGAAGTACGATATGGTAAGTGCGCCTATTTATAAAGTATTTATAACTATTTTCAGATATATAAGCCGCACCCTTTTCGCTCTAAAGGCGAACACGTCAAAAGACTGACTTCATCATGGAGCGCGTTAAAGGCAGTGTCTGGGCAAAAAGTCGATTTTGAGACTTTGTGCTTACCCGGTCCTATTCACTATGCTGAATCCGAAAATCCATATCAAAAGCGCGAAAACGGCGAAAAAGGGCTCTAATGCAGGAGGGAAAATCACAAGTGGGCGGGGTCTTCCCCACTGCCGAATCACGCTCCAAGCTTCCGGAACGATCTTCTCGATCCCGATTTCAAGTCATGCATTTGCACCTGGCCTGTGGAGATCTCAGGGCGGTAGCGAAATTAAGAAAATCGCTTCAGAAGATGGGACCGCGAAATTCACAGTGGGGAAGACCCTGCCCACTTCTGATTTCCTTCCTGCATTAGAGACCTTTTTTGCCGTTTTCGTTTCCAATGTGGATTTTCGAAGTCAGCACGGCGAATACCGGGTAAGCACAAAATCTCAAAATCGAGTTTTTGCCCGGACACTGCCTTTAAGCTCAGATAATCGCTGGGGGCAGGCGGGCACCGGAAAAATAGATTGCTGATTTCTCGCACCCCGCTCGCGGATTTTTTGGAAAGCAATCAGGATTTTTCGGAAGACCGCTTGCTGAGTCAGCGGATTTTTGAGAGACCGCCTGTTGAATTTTTTTTCGCTTTTATCTTTTGCAGATATATTGCTGAATCTCTGAGGAATGGAGAACTCAGCAAGCGGTCTTCCGAAAAGTCCTGATTGTTTTCCAAAAAATCCGCGAGCGGGGTGCGAGAGATCAGCAATCTATCTTTCCGGTGCCCGCCTGCCCCCGGCGATTGTCTGAGAGTGAGGACAGTATGCGATAAGGCGACCGCTTCGCGAGACATATGCGCGGCGGCACGCCTGGGTCTGCTCGCGTTTAGAGCAAAAAGGGTGCGGCTTACACACCTGAGAATAGAGTACATGCATCGTGCAAAAAGCGCTCTACTTACAGGTACTAGCTGTAGGATTCGGGGCAAAATCAGTGCAGAATCAAGCTACAGTTTTAAATCAACTGACAGGAGATCCGAGGTATCCTCAAGTCATTTGTGACATAAATGTGAATGTGCACTATGCACGGCGACTGAAGCCATTCCTCATCGGTCCTCGGTAAAACCTTTTCTACCATAACAGACTGTAGAAATTGCTAGTGACTAATACATATCCAGTTGGATCAGAAGAGAGAGAGAGAGAAAAAAAAAGAAGACATGGAGAAGCCACAGGAAGTAAGCGGCTTTAGTACTACAAGCCGTCAGGTAGCACGCATGGTGTGCAACATACATATTGAGTTACAAAACTCGACATTAGCTACAAGTTGTTGAAAAGAAAAAGTCCACGCTAAATAATATTCACATCTATGAATCCTTTAGGAGATCTGAAAAATTTTTGTGTGTATGTGATTCTATGAGACAGAAACAAAAACACTTAAATGTTAGTGTGTGCCGACAAGCACTAGTCAAGGCGTTCATTCTCTTCTTCCCTCCCCCTTTCCAATCAAATATCGTTTCAGGCCTGCACTTTTCGGCAACTCTTCCTTTACTTCCCTTGTACAGACTCCAGCTTTGCTATTTTTGATCAGTTTAAAACGTTTCGCTTTCCAGCCTATATCAAGAAGAAATGTGATTTTTTCAATGGGAAAGGAATTTTTTGCAGAGTAAAGGGGTGATTTTGCTGAGGGAGATTTACTGTTAAACTGCGCCTAGAGAGGCCTGTGTCCTGCCGTGCCAGCGCCGTGCTAGCGCCCAAGTAAACGGGCCATATTGATTGATCGATGGTGCTGATACGGCGCTGACCCAGTGCCGCACAGGCAGCTTTGGACGCGGTCCCATGCGAAAAATAAATATACTACACGATCTGCATTTTAAAGAAGGAATTCCCAGTTGAGAAATTCGATGGAACGATCGCAAGTCTTTCAAGACAGCCAAAAATTACGACATTAAATGAGAAAACGCTGCGAGTTTTACAAGACATTGATGAGAGTATCAAATCTTATATATAAAGTTGAATGTCTGTCTGTATGTATGTCTGTCTGTACGTATGTGCGGAATAGAAATTTTTATTTCTGGACCGATTTGGACCAAACTTGGCACACATATACTTCGGGGCAGGGAGCGTGTCATAGGCTACTTTTCGTTATCGATCGCTGTTGATTTTATCGATTTTTTGCAAAATTTGAGCTAGGGGGCTGGGATTTTGCACAGGGGGGTAATCGAGCATGCTGATCAACCCCTCCGGGGTGATCACCCCGGAGGGGTTGATCAGCATGCTCGATTACCCCCCTGTGCAAAATCCTAGCCCCCTAGCTCAAATTTTGCAAAAAATCGGTAAAATCGACATCGATCGATAACGAAAAGTGGACTATGACACGCTCCCTGCCCCGAAGTGTATGTGTGCAAAGTTTGGTCCCGGGCGGAGCCGGGTTTGCCATCTAGTATTGAAATATTGGTATTCAGTCACGTGTTCTACGCATTCTCAAGCGATCAACTACAGTTTGTCAGCCAGTGGCTTTACATTAACGGATGTCCGTAAGTTTTGTCAGACTCTATCGTGTTCAAACTCCATTCGACAATTTAGAAATGTTGGCATGCCTACGACGATTGCCACACCCAGTCCTCCAGTACCAACACAGAATCCCGCTATCCCTTGTCAGCTTAGCGGGCTAAACTATGATGTCTACTTAGTCGTTGATACTTCTGCTGCAATGAGCGCAAGCGATTTTTCGCAGGTATAATCAGAGAAGATTTAGAATGGGCCTGGAGTTGAATGTGTGCCGGCGCTGCGTTAGCGTTGTGCCAGCGCCGCGCAGGCCCCGCGCTAGCTCCGTGCCAGCGCCGTGTCGTAACCCACGTGGCTCGCACTGTATTGGTTGGGTCTCTGTAGGCACCTACGGCGCAGCGCTAGAGAGCACTGGCAAGCGCACCTCCGGAAGCAGCCTTACAGAAAGTGGCAATCCACAATTCAGCTCAAACAAGCACTTATTGGTTTTACCAACCCTTTCCCATTTGGTGACGGCAAAACACAGTTTGCACTGGTGTCGACAGCTATAGACTCAGAGCTCTACGGGACCAACTTCCACAACGGGCAGGACAGGTATCAAGGTTTTGTGTATCCTCAAGAACTTCTTGAACTGCCTTTAGGGAAACCCTTGTCAACACGCTTTCTACACTTTCTCAAGATGCATCACAAGGACAGACACTCAAACTGTAAGTCGTATTCTAGATGAATCAAGGGACTTTCCCACTCTTTCCAACTCAAAGATAAAAAAAAATTACGGGAATTTGGAAACTTTGCGCACATTCGTTATTTGGCATAATGATAATGGAGATAATAGCCATTTCACATGGCACTTTCACTGCAGGATTACGATAGGCATGCGTTATGATGTCAAGAACAAAGGACTCGCTTTACCTTTTCGAAGCTTTGACGCATTCACCATGTTCTCACAATATTGTCTTACGGTGGGAATGCTATAGTTTATTGTTTGAAATACCACACTACCAAAGTAAAGTTTGGCGCTAATCTGTAAATTTGTGTTTAGCATGAAAATTGATCTTTCTATGCAGTGTTACAGCGAGTTCTGACTAAGCTGGTCCTATACTGTGTACCTACCGTAGCCCCACAAAATTCTTAAATCAAGTAACTCACGTGCGCAAAGTTTCATTTGAGATTGTACATTTCTGCGCTGTATAGGATATCTATTTCAAGAAACAGACCAACTCAAAAGTTACAGATCCTTACAAGCAATCAGCAACGCTTTCCTCTCAAAGAACTATTCAACCAGAAACAAGTTGATCGTTTATATCACAGCGACAACAAAGTTTGTTTCCTTTTCATTTTCAGTCCCAAAAAAATATATTTTCTTCTTCAGATGGGACACTGATCCAATCCAATACATGAAACAACTGTCACAAACCTACGGTGTCAAAGCGGTAGCCGTGCAGTGGACATCAGGCGCAGACCTCAGCTCGTTGACTTCTTTTGCCGGAGGATCTTCTTGCACCAACGCAGCAAATAACCGTGCTAACATGGTCACTTGGCTCCAAACCAAAATGTGCAGGTTCGTGAGCGGAGCTCTGCATAATAAGCGGAAACTAACCAGGATGTTTCAGTCAGTCGTTCTGTCTGTAAAATGAATCCAGTCAGACGACTAGGAGTGTACCATGGTCTCAAGTGCCGCGATCACTTCGTAATAAATGAATTTCAGACTGGAAAGCTTGATAAAATATTTGCCTAACTTTGTATGTTTTGACTTTCCAATGAGAAAAGCCTCCCACGGCTTTTATCAACGAATCAGTTTTTTTTTCTATCAAAGCAGAAAGGTGCTTGCAAGTTGCTCAATCATACACCGTGATTTGTGAATAAAAAGCGTGACTCCGCTAGAAATCGCAGAAATTGCCCGCTCCGCCTACTTCGGTTCGAGTGGGCGAATTCTGATTTAAGAGTACCATGCAACTAACTCAATAAGTATCACCTTTTCGATTATAGAATGGTAAGGTAGGTATTAAAATTTGGTAAGGAAAGTACTAAAATTTCTCAGTAGGTTAGTCAGTGTGCTGATTACAAGAGCATACTACCTGCTGCTTTAATTTGGATTATCTATCGTATTAGCCGCGCCCAGACAGACACTTATATCCAGAAGATCTCGGATCGGTTCTTTTTTACCCAGTAAGAGTGTATTGTAGGTATGAAATCTTAAAAGGTAGGAAGAGGTCATTTTTTTGAATTTTTCTTCATGCTAAAAAATGGAGTCCACGCAAGCACTAAAACGCTCCGAGGACATGCATTTGAAGATGTTATAGGAATCTTTGCTGAGAGGAAAACTCAGCGCTAGCACTTATCGACGGTATTTTCAGTTGGTTTTTTGAAAATTTCAAGCACTCTACTAAGTTCCGAACGCCTTACAATATTTCACATTCATAGTACGATTTGTTTGAGAAACTAGTGACGAAATTTCAGATAAATAGAAAAACACTGAGAAACACGAATTTGTTCGTTTTTTTTTTCGATCGTTGATGAGATGTATGGTCCGAAAGGTGGTCTTCATCAGAACTTCACCTAGACGTCTCCAACCATGTGCGGACATCTCATGCGACTTCGTCGTAAACTTGCATTCAAAAATACGACCCATCAGTGGGTCGTATCGTCATGGGAGTACACGTATGACACGATGGATCGTATTGTCGTGAACGTGTTGGAGCAAGTCATTAGTTTCTTACAAGGAAAGCTACCTAAATTAGCTCAGGCTTTTAGTAAAAGGCATATACCCTCGATATCATCCCATATGTCTTCCCTCAACATGACGTGGATTACGTGGCTTGATGAGGCGCCGCCTCGCCTCGGGCTCGCGCCACGTTGCGAGCGCATCATTTGGCGCGACGTGGCGCTCAACATAACGTGGCGCAGGCTTTTCCACGTTCTTCTTGTTGCCACATCACGCCGAAAATGCGCACGCAACGTGGCGCAAGCTCGAGGCGAGGCGGCGCCTCATCAAGCCACGTAATCCACGTCATGTTGAGGGAAGACATATGGGATGATATCGAGGGTATATATATTCTGAATCAGCTTCAAACGCTGATTCCAAATATGCTTATTCCTAGCTGCCACGCACCATTCCAAAGCAAGTTATGGGCTTTTCCAACGCAACATTGGAATACTAATGAACATGAAAAGACTGCCTTTAGATAAAAATGTGCAAGAAAAAAGTGCTGAGGTATCGAAATAGTACAAATCCAATCTTTTCTGACCAAAAAAAAGCTTAACGCAGGTGTATCAGCACTTAAATGATGATGACGTGATGCCCGTGAGTCGATGAGCATGCCGATTTTGCTCAAGAAAAAGCCCAAAACTCGCTTCGGAATGGTGCATAGCAGCTAGAAATAGCATATTTGGAATCAGCGTTCGAAGATAACTGACTATAAATGACCCTTGCCAAAAGGCCGAGCTAAATTAGATAGCTTCTCTTTTTAGTATCTTTTCAAGCGGAAAAGTTCTTCCATCTTCCTGTGGCCGTATTCATCATTAATACCATGAGGTAGATTTTACCTCCAGGTAGTTTTATCACTCATTATCAGCAAGCACCCGTATTCACAAAGTACCTTGAGGTAAATTCTCAAGGTAATTTTGCTGATAATGAGTGATAAAACTACCTGGAGGTAGAATTTACCTCAAGGTATCAATGATGAATACGGCCACTGGAAATGAGAACAAAGAATGCAATTCATCAGAGCGGACCATAATTTATTAGGATCCAATGCCGAGAAACAACACACTGAAGGTCTTGTGGTATTTATTAGTTACTAGAGCTATCGAAGACCAAATTCTGATAGTTACAACAGCAATATGCGAAAAACATGCAAGTAAAACAGATAAGATCTTTTCGAATTATGCAGAGCTGTATTGCATCAAAAAATAATTACATCATATTTATCAGCTCGATTCAGTGAGCAATGCGATAAGCACCGGAAATATTGCAAAGCGTGAGATATTGTAAACTGCAGGAGGTAAGAGTGAGACACTGTTAAAATATTTGTGAAACAGGTTAGAAAAAGTTCCGCTCGAGATTGCCTATGCATGCAATCAGATAGGAAGCAAAATTATGCCACTGCATGGATAATGTCGGAGACCCAGCTCATCGGAAGGAATCGGTCGATTTCATCTTTGTTTAGGCCTTAAACTCATAGATACGGAAGCATAAACTTTTTGTTTTTACAGTACCTTTCTTAATAAGATAGCGCCCTAGTCGTTCTATGTCCAATTGTAAGTCGACTGAAATTTCCTCGCCTCGGAAAAGCTTCATGGTCTGGAAAAAACTGACAATCTTGAACTGTTTTCATTGGGATAAAATTCACTCACATTAGCCAAAAAGAAACGCAGTCCTTCTAGGCAGACTGCCAAGAGTCTCCAGCACAGGTTTGCACACAGAACCTAAATTTTATTCAGCATTAAACCAATCTTGAAGAACCTTGTGGTTTTTTTACGGATTTTGTCGACACGGCGTTGTCCACAATGGCAAAGCATGTTTCCATCGCAGTTTTGTCCAAACCTCGCTTTCGCCTTTCATGTAGGTCGTAGAAAACAAGGCAGGATAGGGGAACACCATTTAGAACAGACGAGTTTTGCAGATGCTCTAGTGTATCGTCGCTATAAGGTGCACCATTATTGAGATAACAACATAAATGAGATACATTCTCTAATCCTGGTTGCAGGGAATTACCGAGTTTGATCGAATCGTACAAAACTTTTCACATGCCCTTTATCGAGACCTCCCATAATATCAAAAGACAGAGGCATTGCTAAGAGATCTCGCACTCTCAGAACCTATCTCAAACAAAAGAACGTCTCAATGAATCTTGGCATAATAAACTTACTTAGTGGAATGAGTCGTCCTATTACAGTTATCCTCTTCTTCCGAAATCTCCTGGCTAGTGTTGAGCCCATCACAACCCTACAAAATAAATGTGAATGGTGATTTTTCACAGGATAATCTCCACATCCGATATGTAACCGACATACAAAAATTGTTATAGCAGTTCTCTTGATCTCAGACTATTGGAAGGGAACGCTTACCTCCATATTGAACAGATCTATTTCAAGCACAGAAACAGCAAATTCCATCAAGGTGTGGTTGGATCCGCCGCAGCTGAAAAGCGCTACAGCATATACAATTCCATCAATTTTTAAGATCTGAAACGTGACTCCGTATTCATGTCACAAACAGTGCGCGTGGAGGGAATTGGAAAGGGTGGGAAAGCTTCAGGCAATACTTAGCATCGGCTATGTAAAATAATTTGATACTGAAAATAAAGCTCTCTTACGTGAATGTGTCTAAGATCATCTTCCTCAATCCAGCTGTTCTGGATAGAAGATTGTTCCATTCTAGAAGAGATCCTCGGCGAGTACCAGATGAATCATCATTAGAAGGAGCATCTGTGAGCACCTAAAACTTGTTCAAGGATTTCTTATGCGGTCGCAGATTAGGAATCCTGAGCTGAGCGGTATCATATAAATTATTTATGGCCAAGATTCCATGACTCCAACCCAGACGGTACTCTTTCCGAGTAGACCAATCAGGTATAGTAGAATGGTCTGGTTAGGATCGGCCACGAATGAATCACATAAAACTATCACAGGAGCAACGGCTTAGTTAGGATCTGTCTGCTCTGACCACTCTGCACATAAGATGTCGAGGCTACAGTTCGTCTGGGCACTCCCTCTATTTCTATCAAAGCCAATTGTGTTTTTTCTTCTCAAACACAAAATTCACCGCATTGCTCTTTTCCTACGTGGATGGGATTCATGAATAGTAGCGGAAAATGAATACTAGATGTATTAGAACTGTTAGTACCTGCAACCAATAAAAACGCCCTTCTTCGTTGCATGCAGGGAACTGATAAAGGAAGAACATCAGCAAGCGATACGCAGCGCTTGCAGCGTCAAAACTCTGACCAAACTCTGGCTGAAAAGTGAAAATGGTATTTGCAGCTGGTATCGGAAAACTCAGCAGAACCTTTGCGATATCATGAAGAAGCCTCGATAAGATGTTTGGAGTAGGCAAAAGTGGTGGATGCAATGAATTGCGCAAAGATGTGACTACTTCATGACAAATGAAGTCGTGAATAAACGAGGATGGGACGTTGTTCTTCATCTCAACCATGATCGCGTCGAAGAACTGCCGCAAACTGTCAGAAAACGAGCCAGATTCCTAAATTTCACAGAGTTTAACAGCTGGTACAACTCGAGAATAGTTTTTCTGAATAAAAAATATGACACTCCACAACAGAAACTTCAAAAAATCAATATGGTAAATTTCAGAAATAGGCAAACTAGTTTCTTCGAGACAGTTATTTAATTCAAGACAAGTTAATCGCTTCTTTGACATTCATCTGGAAACATTGAAGAGAATGATAATGACCTGGGGAAACTTTGATCTCACTGGGAAATCGTATTTACGCAATAAATCTTCAAAAAGAACATTTGGTTCAAAATCTTCTACATATAATCTCGCAAACCGACAGATCACGCAAACGGCAAAGCTTTTTCTCAAACCCACGCTTCCTATAGTATTCATTTTACATGAAATTTTTCCGACACTTATTTTTACACTCGGAAAAACTACCCACGTTTTGTCCCTTTTCTTAGACGGAGTTCCAAATTTTTAGGCCTTCTTCGGGACTCCTCAATAAGGAGAGAGGGCCAAGAAATTTTGAAAAAATTGTTTGAAAGAATAGTAAAACTCATCTTTTCTTTTAAATTCGTTCGTCCTTCTCTTCTTTTCTCAAGATTTACAGATAGTTTGCAAACAGATTTGGAAGACTAAAATTTGGTTACCAGCTTCAAGAACTAGTGAGAATTATAGCAATGACAATGGTGCTTGCTCTTTTACTTGCAAAAAATAGGTTTGTAATGAAAGAGGATCTGGGATTTGCTGGAATCTTTGATGATACCCACTCAAAAGCCTGTTAACTGTGCGCTGCTGTAAGAGCTTAGTTAGATTATAACTTACCACTCCGCTTTTAGCTAATGCTTTAGGAACCAGGTGGCTCAATGTCGATACGCTATCGCACCAAGAATGTTTCTCGTTCGATACGGTAATATCGGGCTTCTAAAAATTCCTTAAATCTTCACCATGAAGGTGAATACACGCTCTTCACCTGTTCAGAATCAAAGTCATAAATTTCGAAAAGACCACAGTCATCTTGCACCACCTTCGACTCATTTGCGACATCGTCAACAACGAGTGAATGCTGCTGAAATGTTCAAACTGGACACAGTTTTCCGTACAGCAGATTGAGCGTTATCACACCTGTACCTCTTCCTCAGCGATTGGTGAACACACAACATTTCCCCTAGGCTTTAGCTGATTTTCCCGAATTTCGTTCTCTATGTCATCCAAAATATCATCAACCGGTTGAGACCGATGCCTAAATGGCACCTCATTAACCTCTTTAAAGATTACCAACAAATTTGACATGGCAGATCTTTTAATGCAAAAATCTTTCGAATTGGAATTAATTACGAATGGTTATGAGATGAATGGAGAATGAAACTATTATATTAGGTTGTCCCAAAAGTACCGTCATCTTATTTATAAAGCTGAATGTCTGTTTGTCTGTCTGTCTGTATGTCTGTCTGTCTGTGTGTAAGTATGTTCCGAATCGAAAATTCCATTTCTGAACCGATCGGGACCAAACTTGGCACACATACGCTTCGGGCCCCGGCGGGTGTCATAGGCTACTTTTCGTCATCGATCGATATCGATTTTATCGATTTTTTGTAAAATTTGAGCTACGGGGCTGGGAGTTGGCACAGGGAGGTAATCGAGCATGCTGATCACCCCCACGCGATTACACCCCTCTGCCAAATTCCAGCCCCGTAGCTCAAATTTTGCAAAAATCGATAAAATCGACATCGATCGATGACAAAAGTAACCTATGACACCCGCCGGGGCCCGTAGTGTATGTGTGCCAAGTTTGGTCCGGATCGGTTAAGAAATGGAATTTTCTATTCGGAACATACGGCCGGGTAAGCCAGCTAGTTCCAAGTAAACCAAATTGCTTTTGTTTTCCTAGCAGATCGGTACCATTCGATAGAGCGAAGCAGGCTCTATAAAATGACCACCAAAGGTCCGCCTAAGTCCCAATCCAGGTAAAATTTTGGTCCAAAAATCAGAAATTTCCAACTACCCTAAACAGATCTCCTTACAGAAAATGCCTACGGATTTCCTCTAGGTCATTAAAAGTAGAGTTATCCAGTAGTACCCAAAAATGTATTTGGTGGATTTTCTCAGGGGCTCGAAATTGAGAAACAAAGATGGTCTGAAAATGCCAAAATGCCGCTCTTTTCGGGTTTTTCATGTAAAACTTGGTATTTCTAGATTACCAAAGCACAAACAAAGTAAAAATTACAAGGTAATAAGGCTTAATAGGTTACTTAATAAGGCTTGTAGCATAAAATGACATATGTGGGAGGGTTGAGGGCGGAGTTTGCCGTCTTTGGACTACCTTTTTATTCTCGCTTTCTATGCGCGAAAAAAAAATCCAGTAAAGATATATTAGGTTGAACCGAAAGTTCTGTCGCACCATTTTCAAAAAATCATAACTTCTTTCGGTCACGACGATTTTGCGCAAATCAAATTTTGTCTGAAAGCGTAAAGCACGTAGTTTCTAAAAGCTCCCTAGGGAGTTTTTAGAAACTACATGCTTTACGCTTTCAGACAAAATTTGAATTGCGCAAAATCGTCGTGACCGAAAGAAGTTATGATTTTTTAAAAATGGTGCGACAGAACTTTCGGTTCAACCTATTATTTGAGTACTACTATGTGTCTTCTGTATAATGACCAAGTTTGAGGTCAGTAAAATTTTCTTCGCAAAAAATTCAATTTTCAAGTGATGATTTTTTTTTCAATTTTTGCTCCAAACTTTACCTGGCTTGCAACTTAGGCGCATCTTTGGTAGCCATTTTGTAGAGCTTGCTTCGCTCTATCGAATGGTACTCTAAGTGTGCTAGGGAAACAAAAACAGTTTGATCTATTTAGAAATACTTTGCTTTTGGGACAACTCCATAGCATTTGTGGGTCAAGATACTATCGGCCCTTGGTCATGAATACCTCCAAACCAGATTAGAGCAAAAATTCAAACACTGCCATTTACCTTTTCTCTTCTACATCGCCAGAACTGTACACAGTTGGTTTCTCACTCACATCCATGGACGAAGCCTGCAAACAGAAAATGCAATTTGCTCATTAAAAGCGACAGCCTTCTGAATGACATTTCTTAGCAAACATCTATCTGAATCCAGTAATGGAAATTAAAAAAGAGAAGCTTCTCTTGCTGTTATCATTTTTTATTAAAAGTACTAAATCAACCGTTTTTGACCGAGCGTCGAATAGTTTTGGAGCATAACTACGGTGCGGAAGAGCAGTTCCAACTCGAAAAAAAAAAACATTTGAACCAAGAACGAAATAGATTATAAAGAGACCCTACTGTTGGAGAGTAATCGAGAAGTGCAGGCTCGGGTATAGGCACTGTCCAAGCAAATTTAACTTGAGTTCTTGAATGGAAATAGAGTGTGGACCTGACCAAGCAACAGCATAAGCAGCTCATATGACCCATCCAATGGTTGGCAAATAAACGCCGATTTCTAGCCCACGCCGTACTGTCTACTACCCAACGACACTTTGCCAAGGCCTTCAGGCCTTCCAATCAGCATGCATATTTCCAGAGACTTATTTACTGGATGATTTCTCGAAAACTCGGAAAAAAGATCTTCATCAAAACAAATATCGAACAAATTCGGGAGTCAAAAACGTCGGTAAAAATGTTAAATTTATCGCAGATTAGAAATATTGAGTAAAACGACTATCGAATAATCGAAAAATGAAAATTTTGAGCAAACAAATGCCGAATAAAGTTCGAAAATCCAAAATTTTCTTTGAAGGAACTTCTATCATATTGACACCGAAGGTCGAATAGATATTCAAATGATCTGTTCGAATGACTAGAGTTTCGGATAACTCATTCGAATACATAATAATAGAATGATCAATTTGGTCATTCAAAACAACTATATTCAAACGACATACGTTGACATACGCTCAGTCGGTAGACATTCAAATATGGAATTCGTTCAAACACGAATTTAAATGAAGAAATTCGAATAAAACATTCGTATAATATATGTGTGAATCTCGGCTTGGTTCAAGTTTTCGAATTTGATTCGAAACCCCTTTGATTATTCGAGTATTCGAATTTTATACGAAATCCCGTTCTACGACTATTGAAGTTTCCGAATTTATTTCGAAAATGGAAAACTCCGAGTATCGAATTTCGAATGCGCAAATATTCGGAAGTTCTGTTCGAATGATCAAATTTCTATCCGATTCGGACCAAAGCATACTAGACACTATATTTGACTTCACTAATACTTCAATTAAAGCGCATAGCATATCCAATACTAATATGTGAACCGTTTGATCAAAGTACTGGCCATAACAGGGTGAGTATGAACTTTCCGCCAAGAAAAATACGGTATTCTGGATACCAAAAACAGAAACGCCGATGCTGATGCCAATAAGATTGACTGGTTGCAAAAAAAACAAAGACGAAAGTCAATGCGTATGATATTAAAGTCCACCGATGACTAAACCTGCTTCAAAACTAGGGAAAAGGCTTTAATTTACTCAAAATCGATAGTACTTTCGTGTCTAACTTCAGTGACTACATTGACATTGAAACAAATTGACTTACTTCTTTCTGCAACATCGATACGTCCCCGCCTGCGTGTTGAAGCTTCTGTAGAAATGCGAGTTCGGCATCGGACAGAGTCAATTTTTCGCGATGTTCATTGCACCAGTAGTACACCGCGTGGGTCATCATCACTTCAAGATTGGGTACCACCTCAAGATCCAACACGAGAAGTAAGAGAGGTTAGATATGTTCAGTTTTGTGAAAGCAGACGATGATACGATCAAGATGGACGAAATACTACGAGCTGAATAAATCTCTTTACTTATAATATGCGAAAATTATTCATAGCATTCATCAAAAATTCATATACATACTTTTTACTCCTAAACAAACTTACTTCTCAGCATTAAAAACAAGTTTACAGATCTTCCTTCCTCACTGGGAAGTTCCGGGGAAGGTCTGAATACTTTTACTCCGTCTAAGGCCCGGGCAGACTTCACGCGATTTGATCGCCGCGACTGAATCGCGACGAGACAACTGTTACAACATCATTCCATGCCGATCAACTTGCATTTCGGTTGTGATACTTTTCCAGCCCGAAATTTTCGAATGTGAAATGAAAATGAATGAAAATGTCGGCGATTGAGTCGCGACGATCAAATCGCGTGAAGTCTGTCCGGGACCTAAAGGCAGGAACGAAACGGAGCCTTTTAGATCTACACATTGTGAATTGAAAACTTTTCTTCTTATTATCCATATTGGAACCGCACTAGCTAATCAAAACCATCGTTCAAGTTTCGGAACTTCACCTTGGGTCGAAAAAAAAATGCCAAAAAGTGGCGAATTTTGGCACCTGCGATAAAATTTCGGGCTATATTTTTCCTGAGCGAGAGTAAAAAAAGCCCCTGTTTATCGTGTCTAGGAAATTTTTATTTGAGAAGTGTTGAGGATATTCTGTCCGATCAAACTGTCGTCTCCCACCAGTGCAGCTTTGTGTTTCTGATTGAAAACGCGCAGTTTTACGATTTACCTGATTATTCAGCAATTGAGAAAGAATCTCCTCATACAATACTGGAATTCCTCTCAAGAGTAACTGCTTTACAAAACTGATGTTGATATCATGAACGCTCAGGTCATCACCATTCTCGACAATCACGAGCGAAACCTGGAATGCGTAGAAAACGATGAAATCAAAAGCAGGTCGTTACAGCTGTCTCTACACTGAGAATTATAACGGAGAAAGACTAGTGTAACTGAACCGATTAAATCTGCGGTTACACCCTGATATTGTTTGGCTACAGAAGGTCTTTTTTTGATATTTCCTATTCCCACGCTCATAATCAAACTCCAGTAGCTATTTTGCTGGTCTAGTGCAGTAAATCATCATCCGATACAACATTTGCCATCCAGAGTAACGAGTTAAATTATGCAAGTGACTTCTGCCCACAGATAGATACTTGGACTTTTTGCTCAAGAACCTCAAATAGGCTATGTAAAAAGAATTTCCGAAACGTTGCCACCGCATCATTATTTCAAAATTTTGAGGACGTAGGTCCCCAAAATATAAATTCCCGGGAGAAACTATCTGAGTGTGTGGTTCTAGCCAGCTCCTCCATTCGGCAGAAATGGCTGTTACCCCCCCCTCCCCCATTGCGCCCTAAAAAAATTTCTTGTACCGTCACTGGTTTTTACTATTTGGAACTCACTAGATCGTTCGCTTTCGAAGGACGTTCCCTAATAGTCCTCCACGAATCATCTGCAGCTAGAGAACCTCCACCGGCTTTGATGATACTGTAATCGTGAGCATGTAAGAATGTCAGATTACATGAAGCAAATAAGATATTCAATTACTGAAACTTCTGGAAGTTCCAGCATTTACCTCTTCAGCGTTGCTTTCTTCAATCTACCCTCACTAGTACGGTTTGCGAGGATATACACGCGGCGGAATACACTGTCGCAAAAGAATCTGCACTCTTCCTCTTCTCGCATTCTCTGGTATGATCCGTACCTGGGATTGACATCTATCTCACCATTTCGCAAACGTAAACTCACAATTTCAATATGTCTCTGAATCTTGATAACGCTGGTGTTTGCAGATCAACCTGATTGTGTTTATACTCGTGTTCTGCTTCAGGTACAACACTATCCTTGGAACGTGTTAGCCAACTCGGTCGAAGCAGCCAAGCTCCTATAAGATTGATTTTATGGGAAGTTGCTTTCTACTGACTAAAAGTTCGCTAATTAGGCCTTAGCCAAGTCATTGGCCAATGGCAGCTCATATCATTTATTTGCGACCGAATGATTACCTCCAAATTTCAGCCCCAACATTCTATCGAGCAGACCAATTAGCGCCCCCAGTTACGATAAAAAGTACGGTGTAGGCTGGAGTTCAAGTTGATTCCTCTGCACTTATGAAACAAGTTGCGCTTGGACAATGACCTTTGCTGAGACTCCGAATCAATTTCCAAACAAGAACAACAGATCCAGATTTACTTAAGCATTTGAGCACCTGAAACGACGGCGTAGTACATCACTGAGTACGGAAATGCTTTGTCTTTCTTCGTTGGAGGTCTGGCAACAATGTGAGTGATAGATGTCGACATGATCTAAAATCACAATTTGTTACCAACTCTTTGTTCTCTTCTGACTATGGAACCCACATCTTTCACATCGATTTCATCAGGGCAGCTTCGGACAATGTCGAACTTCTCTTTCTCACTGTATCCTACGAGAAAAACATTGAAATGACCTCCACGAGCTGTAAACAGTGGTAACTTGTAAGACTATGCAAGTAGCACGTTGAGTATGGAGTAGAGCAAAAGCACAAACCTGCTTTAGTGCATGGGCTCTTCATTGAACTGGGAGCCTCTGCAAAACCAACTCTTTTCCTCTTCTGACGACCAATTGCATCTGCTCCACTGCTCGAAGCCTTTCCGCTCATATATGATGTGTTCTCACCTTGAGACAACTTTTTATTATTTGAGCAGCAATCTTAATTAGGACAGTTCTATATACAGCGTTTTCAAACATTTCGGTCTATTAAGAAAGTGTGATGGAGTTACAGGAAGTACAGGAGTACCCAAACAAATCCTGACAGGTGGATTCCTTATATATTATAGAAAGGGTGCCTTAGTTAGATCATTGTCTAAGGCCCTGTGCTGGTAGATCATTACCTCATTCGAAAAGCTCATTCTAAACCTAGCACAGACCGTACTTTCCTCAATGATGCTGATTCCGTTCGGAAACAATCTGAGCTGGAGTTCATGAGGCTCGAGCTGCCAGTGGCGCTCCTAGGATTTCCGTCCAGGGGGGGGGGGAGGGCGCAAAAAAATTTTTCCAATGAAGGTGCGTGGCGTCAGCCACGCACTCCGGAAAATTTTTTAAGGTGCTTCTCAAAATTTTTGTGGGTCGCTACGCCCCCGAAAAATTTTTTTCTAAAGGCTAATTTGAATTTTCAAACATTTTGAAAATTATTTTGATTGTTCAAACAAGTAAGTAATAAACAAGTCAATTGCGCATTTTCATAACCCATTAAGTAATTTCCAAAGAATTACGCGACCGATTCTCGGGTCCGAGTAAAAAATTTCATTTCTGGACCGATCCGAAGCAAACTTGAAACACATACACTGCGGAGCGGAGCGGGTGTCGTAGGCTAATTTTCTTCATCGACCAATATCAATTTTATCCATTTTTTGATTTTTTGTAAAGTTTGAGCTACGGGGCTGGGAGTTGGCACAAGGGGTAATCGAGCTTGCTAATTACGAATACAATATTAGTTTTTGAGATCATCTGCCCCCTTTATCGATTTTATCGATTTTTGCAAAGTTTGAGCTACGAGGCTGGGAATTGGCACAGGAAGGTAAGTAAGCATGCTGATTACAAACATAGCGAGAATAGAGAATTGCACGTAGAAGTGGGCACAGGGAAAGACTGTACGAAGATAGGGATGGGAGCTTTATCATGTTGTTTTGACAAGGCCGGGCAGAGTTGGGTAAGCCAGCTATTGCAATTACGATATTTTTACAAAATCATCTGTTATTTCTGTCGATTCTATCAATTTTTATGCAAAGTTTGAGCTACGGGGCTGGAAATTGGCACAGGGGGTAAGTGAGCATGCTGATTACTAACACGGCGGGAACAGGAAGTTGGCATGTAAAAGTGGGTACAGGGAAAGGGTGTACAGGGATAGGAATGGAGCCTTTATTATAGTGTTTTGACAAGGCCGGGCGGAACCGGGTAAGCCAGCTAGTATCCACATAAACTGTTGAGGTATCGAACAACATTTAAAACAAAGATTTTCGTGCTAAAAATCCGCATGCACAGTTTAGTGCAATACTACAATGTGGGACCATTGATGCCCTTTTCAGTTCTCCGCTTTGCCAGACACTGCATCAGATTCTGGCTTCAACAGATTTATCTAAAGGCTGCTGTACGACAAAGGCGCAAAAGCAGTATTAGTTGAGCGAGCGCGAACGCGGCCCGCGCGTCTTTTCACCGTTGTAAATCCTGCATCTCATGCGCTCTGCGGCTAATGAAGCCACGTTCGCGCCCAAAAATATTGCGCCTTCGTCTGCAGCGGCCTACACGATGGAAATCCCAAGCTTGCTTATTAGAGACTAGCCTGCTTACCCGGCTCCGCTCGGGCCTGTCAAAACACTGTAATAAAGGTCCCATCCCTATCCCTGCACAGCCTTTCCCTGTGTCCACTTCCACACTTCATTTCCCGTTCCCTGTGTTGTTTTCGAAATCAGCATGCCCACTCACCCCTCTGTGCCCACCAGCCCTGTAGCTCAAACTTTGCAAAAAATTGATAAAATCGATAAAAGTAATAGGCGATTTTGAAAACTAATATTGTATTCGTAATCAGCATGCTCGATTACCCCCCTGTTCCAACTCCCAGCCCCGTAGCTCAAACCTTGCATAAAAATTGATAGAATCGACAGAAGCTACAGATGATTTTGTAAAAATATCGTAATTGCAATAGCTGTATTATTCAGTATTAAGTATGGAGTATTATGCAGTATTCACGGAATGATTATGTTGACAACATGGGACAACATGTCGCCTTGAAGGCAGTGAATCGGCAAAATCCAACAACTCGGGATTTTAACGCGATAGGTTCCTTATCACCCTACTATGAAACAGTGCAATTCCGGTTGCACAGTATGCTTTCCCTATTAAGAAAATCGCTCTCAAACTTACACGCGCAGGCCAATCTTACACGCGTCTGGACGAGTTGGCAATTTCCTTTTCACCATTGGAGGCTGCCCGCCGCAACGCTATAACCATTGGGTCCTGCCACGATTTAGCGTCATCGGCCTTGCTCCACTCGTCCAATATCAAAGAAAAGGGCATTAAAAACGCTCATTTTCGCCTGTTTCAAGCTTTCAGAAGTAGATTTTCGGGATCAGTGTATTGAAAAACCCCAGGTAAGCGCAAATTTGACTAGGTTGAGATTTGCCGAGTCACTGCCTTCAACTGACCTAACGCTTTGTGTGCCACCAGCACGGAGTGCACTGAACTGTCAGATGTTTCCACTTTGTGCAAGTTTCCGGCTGTTCATCGTTCTTTACTGTCATCAAGCATAATGATGATTCTACAACGACTTGTTTGCTCCACGTTATGATTGCAAAACTGGTGCAATTACACAAAGCGACTAGTCAATGAAGACACTATAACATCAGCAGATGTGGTCCAGACTAAACTTCCCAGTACTGTGAAAATTGTACACCACTGGAGAATGGGCACACAAACACTCCAGCAAAACTCATGCCAAATCAAGACTTCATTAAGTGAATAGATCTACATGATATCACTGAATTGGCAAACTTCTAGCAGATTAAAATACAGCACAGCTCCGCAGACAAGCTATGGTCACAACCATCCAGTACGACATTTCAAGTTAGTATTTATTAACGTCTGCCAAGAGTTGGGTTCGCTTAGTTGAAAACAAAAAAACAGGATGTTCACAAAGGGATATATAGGTATAAAAACTACTAACAATCAACCAATAACAAGTACCGTCTTCAACGTAAAATAACAGCCGCAAGAAATACACAGTGAAAGAAATTTCTGCTCAACATGGCTAAACTGTATAACAATGCTTCCATGCCATTTAAACAAAGTCTTGCTTGAAAACGTATTCCTTCGCATATCCACCGTTTGTGATTTCGCATGAATTCGAACATGTGTATACGTACACAGATGCCCAGTCGATTGATTGCCCTGTAGATTTGAAGTTTTGATATCAAACTGATCTGTGATGTCTCGATTACCAATTTGATCGACTTCGATGAGCGAGAGAAGATGAGGCATAAGTTGCAGCTCAAACGTTCGCGGCGCTCCACACCTTTCGCATGGTGGTATTCCTTGTGGAGCTGGAGCTCTATCAGTTGCCAAAAGCGGAGTACCTAGAACATGACACTATGCAATCACCGTAATGCAACAATGACTTTCTTTTTAACAACATCTTTCAGACGAGATATTCGATTGTTGATGTAGAGTTTGTCAAGTGATCAATGCCATGAGTGCCATGATGATAAAACTATGACAGGCAAACTCTACCTACCTGAACGCTGATATCGCAAAATTTGCTCGGATTCCAAACTTAGAAGACGATTGAACCTGAACAGCTGAAGTACTTATGTGGTATTCCCATGGAGAAAACCTAACTAGTGCAAACATATACAGACCTCTCAAAACTAGAGTCGTTTTGTTGCTCACAAACAGCTGCCTCCAATTCATCTGATTTGAACTGATCATTTTGCTAAAATGTGGAAAGATGTTCGATCAAATGAATGGGATACGATCTGATTGTTGATAATATGACAGTAACTGACCAGCTTGTTTTTGGCCATGAAATTCTCAAATTCCGCCATTCGTTTCTTTTTGATCTCTTCAGACTCATCCTCTGCAGTAGAATCGTCATCGTCGTCGTCGTCATCGCTAGCTTCATTCAAGCTTTCGAGTAATGTTGCGGGAACATATTCCTAATATGTGTGAATGCATGACTACTCTCGAAACGCAACCTCGCACTATGGATGCTAAATTGGTAGATACCTGATCCATTTCAATCCCATACTCTTTGAATACGAATTTGTTTAAAGGATTCGTCAACGACGTGGTCGCTTCAGCAGCAACTCCACAGCTTTGTTTGTGACGCGAGATCCAATCAAGAGCTTGATGATCTCGACAGCAGTACCTTGATGCACTTTTTGGCACAAGGTAGATAACGATGGAAAAGCAGTAATTTAGAAGACAGCTATATTGCAAATACCCTTTTGGAAAATTTCCCGTACTTTTACCCGCTGATCTAAATAGTGAGTGGGAGCACAATTAGCTCGAAACATGGGTAATTACCGTATTCAAGGTCCGAGAAATTTTTCCGTAAAAGAGAAGGGAGAAGGAACAGGTTTTTCTAAATGAAGGAATTGACGCTGAAACTGGCGAGTTTCCCAAATTCTTGCCGTGCATGACCCTTGAATTTCACACAACAGAAAAAGCAAAAGCTATACCCTTAGAATTTTGAAGCTAAGCGAAAAAGGAATCTTAGTAATTCACAAATAAGAACGAATTACTTGCATGATTTCATAACCCATATGAACCTCTTTGAAAAGTTTCGAGATTCAATGACTCATATAGGCTACACACGGACTCACCAAGATTCTCCACATTTCCCACATTTTTTCGAAGCATAGCAACCGCATATCTCACACAGCTGTGGAGCATCTTCTGGTAATCGAGGATCAGGGACATCACCATCTATAGATGAGATGAAAGAGGGATAGATGATGGACTCCATTCAACTTACCTAGATCAGGATCCATAGGTCCATCATACGAATAGTATGGATTGCGTCTGGGCAAGCAGCATCGAAATACGGCAATGTTGGATGCATTATTAGGCTAAATTTGACATATATAGGTGTGACTGGTAAAGACTAATGCTATGAGGATAAAGTTGAACATGCTTCATTTCACTGTATAATCATACCTTAGAGCAATGTGGATTGCGACAAATGAATATGAACAAAGTGCGGTGAAAAGAGTGAGGCGGGTCGTTTTCAGAAGTGGCATAGACTTGGATAAGAAAGCACATTGGCTTTTGACATATCTTAAAGGGCCAAACTGGGAGACATATAAAAATAATTATCAAGACTTACAGAGCACTGTAGTTCAGCCGATGTTGGGAGAAATTTAGGATTTAACCACGAAGGTTTCCCTCCTATTTTTCCTAGCGGAAGAAATATACTTCGAAGACGGTACAAATTATCTAACTCAAGAGGTAAGGCGAAACCAAGACAGACGGGAAGATCTGAATAATGGTATGATTCGATGTCTAATTGTAAGTGAAAAATTAACAGCTCACCATGAGCGTTCCGCTGCATCCTAATCCTGTTTATTAATAGTTTTCTTGGTATCTTCCTTATTTGCCGCAAATAACCAAAGAACCAATACGACGTGCACAAGAACAACAGCAATCACGGCAGAATATGTAAGCGAATCGTTTGCCGTGTATCCAAGTACTGCTGAATGTATAACTTTAGCACGAGGATAAGCTTCGAGAAGATGTCATGCTCCGGTAAAAAAAAGAGAGTCTTACATGAACGATAAAAATAAAGCCCTTGTATCGATTACTATGCTAATGCATCTGAGAATACTTTAAATGACCGCCCACAAATTCTCGATTTCCAGGTTTTTGTCGTTTCAGGGCCTTCTCATGTCCCTGATTCCGAATAAGTCGGGAATCTGCGGAAACCCCGACAATCCCCGCTCCGGAGAACCATAGGACGACTTTCCGGAACGGTGATTGGATGGGCGCGCATGGATGGGCGGGTATGGATGGGGAGGTGCCGTCCGGGGGTCCTCGTGCATCTTCGTTATTCCGAAGCGATTTTCTCGCTTCCGAAGCGACGTTTTACACCGCGACTTGGGCATTGCCTTGACAGGGCCCTACTATCATATGCTGCCAAAAGCTCAAGACCCTCAACTGAGGGTGGACGGTGCCTTTAACAAACGAATTATAATCAAACATCCTTAAAGGAGAAAAAAAATCATCAGTGTTTCCAAGAAAATGAGTGCACATTGCTTATTACGGTTGTGCGCAGCCGCTCAGAAATGGGCTCGCGAACAATCGCAATGAATAGCGCACACCCACAGGGCCACGAAGATCCTCCCTCCCTTTTTTTGGTAACACTGAATAAAATCAAGCCAGACTACCGTTAAACTACTGTACACCCACTACGCAGGCAACGAGCACCAAAAATCGCATAAGTTGGCATTCACCCAAACCCACGTTTGAAATTATGCATGTGCTCAAATCAAACCTTCAAAGAAGTATTGCTTCAAGATGAACATTGATCCAAGCGGAACGAGAAGAATGACGAGGCTGTACACAAGAAGACTTTTGACGGCACCCTGCACACGCTCATCACGCAAATTCGGTATCAAATCGTCCATTGAAGAATCGCCGCCTGCAAACATAATCGCTATCAATGAAACGTAGTACAGGGTACCGTCTGCAAGCCCAATCATTTTGTGTGACTTTTGGCGTTTTGGAGTCACCACTGCGCACGACTTGTTGTTTGCTCGCTATAAATTTCTATCGATTTCCGTTCTTTTTAGGACGGTCTCCAAAAAATCGTTTCAGTGAGTTTTACCTGTAGATAACAGCGTTATGTAAATGATCACTGTTTTGAATGAATTTCAATGACCGCGAAAAATTCCATCAGTTTTCAATCAGTTGGAACCACATCAAAAAAAAGGTTTGTCAATTAAGAAGAACTTGACAAAAACCTCTACCCGAAAAACACAGCAGATAGTGGAGCAATGACTCGCCTTGGCAAAAAATGTGCCCATTAGAGGAAAGTCTTGAAAAAATGCCAAAATATCTGAGTGGGACAACAAGCCGTGGAGTGCTGGAGCAACGCAGAAAAGAGCAAAATTCGAAAAGTTGGAAACAGTAGAAACATGAGCAGTGATCCACCAGATTCCATGGCATAAATTGTTGAGAGTTTCTGTCGACGTAATTTGTGATTTGAAATCGGTACGTCCAAGAGGAAGGCAACCGTTAGGAATCAGATACAGTTGACCACTACGAGTAGACTGGCATAAACCTAATGAAGATCAAACAACACATTGAAAAATTTTTTATTTGGTTAAGACAAGCGAGTGCAAGAGCACCAAAGAGTGCATCGTTCACCATATATTGCGACGTGAATAGAAAACATAAGGAATATAGCAATGATAGCGAATCTGCCCGATGAACCAGCGGGACGCAAAAACCAAGCAAATTTTTTTGTGAAAAAAAACGATGATGGAGCTCTAAACGATCTATGGGAGCCTAATCCGATTTTTTCAATTGCTTTTTCAATTTTTCATCTTCTCTTTCTTCATGATAAGCGATGTATACGAAGACGGCAACTATGATTATGACTACGGCAATTCCGCACAATCCAGCATACAACATCGCTTGATCTGTAGGCATGTGGAGATAGTCTAGAACAGAAGAGATTATAGAGCCTGGCAAACTCCCGAAAAAAAATCAACCTCGGAAATACTGGTATGCTGAATACATGGTTAGTAATGGAAGGACGAACATAGCCGCTGTGAACATCACCAGGTAAGTTATAGCACGCCGAGAATGTGCCGGAGAGAAGAACTGCTCGTTGAGAGACACATCCTCAACCTAAGCCAGATATAGTGTGAAATAAGTATGTGATGTAGACATACACTGATATTTGACCACTCACAACTCCTCGGGAAAGGAGACTTGACTGTGTTGAAGTCCTTTTTTATTCAGAGGTACAACAGTTTGCTGTTGATGCTCCTCACTTTGTTACGGGTTGCGCAATAAATAATAACCCACGCCAAGTCTTGCAGATTCATCTAAGTCTCCGAGTGCTCCTATCCCTGTCGCAAAGAAAGTACCGCGACCCTGCTTTAATGCGGTTTCATTTTACTTGACTAGCGTTTCACTCAAAACACGATCTGCATACTTCGAAAAAAGGTTCGCATTGAAAAAAAAAGTTCATATAGAGGAGGGCATGCCACTTCGTCGAAAGACTCATCAGCGCAATCTGTGACAACCATGAATAACAAATTGCAAAATTCCACTGTCCCGCGCAAGCGAAGTAAATCGGACATAATTTTATGTACTTTGACAATACATTTACTCACATACGTTCCCCATTTTTCGCAAAAAGAGATGATGATAAACGCATAAACAAAGATTTCACCCACAGTCCTCCACGCTACAATGCGTATTTCTCAAAGGTGCAGTAGGAAGCTGATAGAACGCATGATGAAAGTACAGTCAAGCCATTTGTAAGCTGTCGCCACTGCGCCCCTCTCCATCTCTGATTTTCAATTGTGATGGTTTATAAGCTGCTGCATGACGAAGGCGCAACATCTTTAGGCGCGAATGCGGTTTCTTTAGCCGCGGAGCGCATGGGGCGCAGGTTTACAACGGTGCAAATACGCGTTCTCAACGTTCGCGCCCGCTCAAGTAATATTGCTTGTGCGCCTTCGTCATGCAGCAGCCTTTATGTGAATGGTACTGAAGTTCAAGTTTCTAGTTGACTCGAAGACTTCTCTGCTATTGAGTTGGTTCAACTTGTGCTTGTTCGATTATTAGAGGTAACTCTATCTCACTGCACTCACCTCAAAAAAAAAACCTCTCCAACCTCACAACAGCTGCTGCGAATGTTATTTGAGCGTTTGAAAAGAAAAAGGTTGGAAAATCCTAGTTCGACAAATTTCACATTCGATCAAATGATGGTCCTAACACAACCTAAATTTCGCCAACAGTTCTAGAAGCGTTCGCAATCCGTACATATATTCGCTAAACATACTCCTCCACCGAAAAACTAAGCAACCTGCAGTGTCCAGGCATATCTGGGTGCATGGATTTTTTTCCTTGAAATCTGTTGAGGGTAGCACAAATTATTCGTTCATGGCCGAGCCAAACACTCCGGGCCTACGCCATGACCGTACTCGCGAATGGTTTGGTCCCAGCGCGAACGTAGTCCCCAGGTTCCCATGCGCCCGAATTTGCCTGGACACTGTCCTTAAACCTCGGGCAGGGTTCACGCGATTTAACCCCTCGCGATTCTCCCACAAGACAACAGTTTGAGTCAACTGCATGCTGATCATCTTGCATTTCGATCAAGACAGTTTTCCGACACGATGATCGTGACTAACTATCACAACCGAAATGCAAGATGATCGGGATGCAATGGGCTTAACTGTGTCTAGTTGAAAGAATTGCGGCGATGAAACTGCGTGAACTCTGCCCAACGCCTTAGGCAAATTGGTCGTATTTATGAAAGGCCTAAAATTTCAGCCTTCCACACCAACACAACCTTAACCTTGCTAGACTTTGGGACAAAGTGATTGTTGAAGGAGTCTAGACCAATTTGCATCTCCAAATTACCAAAAACCTACCATTATGGACAATATCACGCACAAGTGGACTTCGAATTCAACGAAACAAAAGCTCAAATCGGTTAGAAAAAAAAGCAATTCGTAAAAGTGGAACTCGTTTGCTATGAGAAGTGATATAGAAAGCGAAACTATAATACTTAAAGACGAAACAGCAATAGTGGCTTACTTTCTCGCCCTCTGAAACTGTGACAGATGGTGCAGTCTCCGAATGTTCCGCGTCACTATTATTTCCACTCACGGCAGGGCTGTCGCGTGAACTGGATTCTGAAGCGCCCGGAACAGCTACTTTCTCGAAGCTTTCACTAGTGGAAATGCTCGATGACGAATCTCCGCGGATTACGTCATGTTCATCAGACATCTGGAATAGAACCTATCACAGAAATAACACGGAGAGTTTAGATGCTGATGTATTCCAGAACTTGTACGTGTAAGTAAAAAAAAACTATTCATGAATTAGTTTATTCCATGGAACACATGAAAGGAGAATGGCGCACAAACCTAGCAAAATTTTGTGAGAAAATCTAGCATGGAGCAAGTGTGACCTTCAGGAGGACACAAAACATCGCTGGGGCGCGGCAGGGGAAATAATGGATTTGCCTAATCATGCAGCTTAAAGTCAAAAAAGTGATGGTAAACAGGTCACTGATAATAAACTAGCAAACAAACGAAAATACAGTAAATAAAATAAAGGAAGTACCACAAAAGAAAATTTGTTATGACCGGTGAGAGACCAGTGAGCAAAGATCGAAGGAAGCACGAACGCTAGGCGGATAATGCCGTCACGCGCAATATTTTACACAACATCTATAGGTGAATAAATGATGAACAACTTAGAGTTTCGGTTATTGATTATTTTACCCCGTTGGAACTAAATCAAATAGTCACGTCTCTTCCGCTATCATATGGAGATCTATAAATCACATCGTATCTTATCATCAAGCGTGCAAAATATTACTCTGATAAAAGCAGACCTGACCGCTGAGATGATAATCAACTTGGGACATTTAAAAGATGATAAGCAATGGCAACAGAAGGAGATTTAGCGCTGCTGCTTGCACGAATGATGCCCATGTATTCTAGTTGTCCAACGCAAGCGAAAAATGTCGCATCCATACTTCTGATGTCCTTTGCCAGACCCTGGAAAAGAAACCCACATTTACAATCAGTGTGTCAATTCTAATCGTTATGATAAGAGATCAGTAGGTCTTCGATTAGTAATCCGAATGTTGGGTTCCTTTCAAACGGGAAAAGGCCCCGGGTATACCACGCAATTTCAGCCCCCGCGCGATCCTGGCAGATTGCCAGATGTCTTCGAAACAACACGCAGACTACGTATGAAAAGTGTATGAAACCGTCACAGAATGACAAAATGTCCTATCTTCTGTCATCTAGAACGCGCTCACGATGACTCATGGACAATTAGGGTATTGCCAAATCGCTTGAAGTATGACCGGACTTTTCAAATAACAACGATCATAGACTCTTCGTCCAAATTCCTCAAGTTGGAAGATTCTCTTTACTGCATATCTTGCATCTATCTTACCTGTTGCATCATTTCACTGGCGAATGATTTGCCCCATTCAGCAAGTGAGACGGTTTTCCATCGACCTTGTGAGGTCAAAGTGCGAACAGCAACAGTCAAAGCATTCTTTCCTGCCTGACATTAGCAATGTTGCGGCATATTAGCTCAAAATTTGATTAAATTGTAAAAGTGGAGTACGACTTACAGTGCCAGCCAACGAGCTCTCAACTTTTGATACTGTATCTGGAGAGATGAAATCAGCAGTGTCATTGCCAATTAAGAAACTTCTAGCGTGCGGGAATGAAGTGGTCGGTTGAAGAATGGAACGAAAATTATTCTGCAATAATAGATACTATTTTGCAAAGTGTGAAAATTTTGTTTGAGAACTAACAGATGTAAGCCTTCCCCATCCCACACTTGATAGATAATTGTCTAAAGTACCCTTGATACAGAAAACTTTTGTTTTCTCCCACGCTTCACAAGAGATTACTCGTGGTAGGAGTCACTTACAATCACCACTTATAGCAAGTCACACTAAAAGCACCGATTTTTCTGTTAGGATATCTATTTTTCAATGCGTCCCTGTAAGACACTGGAGAAGAAAGCAGAGGGCTCTTTTTTACGCTTGCAGACTCAACTGTTCTGTCCTAATCTTTATTGCTGGGTTATCAAGCAAGCAAGCGCTGATGGCAAAAAAAAAGAGCCATCATTTAAATGCCACTTCACATCAAAATCAACCCGCTCTGGACAACTTCACATACTGCGGTGAGTGTGAGAATGTTTGATCATCAAAGTAACAGCGAAACGATAATGACAAGCTCAACATGTGGTTCAGTCACATCACTTCTGTTGTGCGAAGAGCTGCAACACGAGTGGCGATGGAACAAGCACTAGTTGTATTGGTTGCTGGAAGGGCATGTCTTCAAAAAGTTCTGTACTCCTTGGACGGCTTATTTCTATGCATAGCACTTCATAACTTCTACTTCTATGTTTTCAAGGATTTTCAAGACATTATGGTGTTATTCCCCCTTACGAATATGTTTGGTATGGAGGCGAACAAAATGTCATTTAAAGAAGCGCCCAGGTAAGTCTGAGCTATGGGCTCTCACGTAGATAGTAATTTTGACCCTAACTAAGCCACTGCCCAACCGGCAGCTCAGGCAGGTAGTGCATAACGGCTGAGATACTCGCCTAAACGGGACCCCGGAATCGGAGTCCGCTCAGACACTCGCACCGGCCCGCGACTGGCCGACGACGGCCTTCCGGCCGGCGGCCGTTCCATTATTTAGGGCGGAGCCAAATACCGGCCGGCCACCGGACGAGTAAATTGCGCCGGCCGGCGTCCGTTCCACTGTGCAAAAGCTCGGAAAGCGCACAAGATTGCGCGTACAGTAAGAAAATAATTTCAAACGTCGGGCGCGTGTGTCTTTTGAGCAGGAAACTTTCCTGTATTGGTTTTCCTTTGTTATTGTTGGGGTTACTGGAACTCGTGGACGCAGCCACCGACGTCAGCCAAGAAGATCGTGGATGTCAGAAGCGAGGGACAGGGAAAAATGGAAACTTCTGAGCTGGGGCCCGCACGTCACGTGAAGCCGGGCCATCTAAGTATCTAAGTATCTAAGTAAGTATTGTTGGGGTTTTCCAATTGGGTTGCATCACTTTCTATGTCCGAAATTGATAGTTGATGTAACCCATTAATATGATTCTGTTCATTCCACTCTCTTTTTCAGATTTGATCAAATTCAGTGGTGTTCATATCCCTTTTTCTATAATCTTGCTTACTTTAACTTGAATGGCGAATTTATTTTGATTTGAATGGCGAACTGCTTATTTTGACTTGAATGGCCAACAAGCCGAACGTCAGTGAGTTCATGCTTATTTGCTGTGACGGTAAGTCTAAGTGTCGCATCCTTTTTTGGGTACGAACTAATGAAGTACAAACTGAATGTTCACTATTTTTAGGAGACAACTGCAATATGTATGGTGTTTGCGTTCTTGTCTTTCTGAAGGAACTACAGCGAATGGTTGACTGCTCTGTTGTTATTCGTGAAATTGAGTATTGCTTCTAACGGATGTTCCTCTACATATTCACATTTTTTGGATGTCTGGACTTTTCTGACTTGTGGTACTTCTGATCTGGGTTCTTCTGACTTCTGGACTTCTGGAATTTCTGGTCTGTTGGGTATTCGAAAACTCATCTGGATACCTTCATCTGTCACTTGCTACTATGCTGGCAACATTTACGATTCGGACTATCTGATATTCTACCGCATTCCTGCTAATCTGATGTGGTCACGGCTGCTGGACCCACTCCGATGTAAGTTCTTTTTGAATATCATTTAAAATTAGCGTTGCGGTGTTTTCCAGAGACCAATACAATCATCTATTCTAAACGTCTACTGTAATGCACATGTTTCTGGTATTGCTCTACTAACAAACATTATCGCAACTCTGTGCATAGCATGTAAGTTCTGGTGTCAGATAAAAATGTAGTAGTTTGTTTCATTTATAGGTCATCGAATGCAGCTTGTTATTGCTTACGTGTGCGTATAAAAGCACAAGAATTAAAACATTTTGTGACCCACCGGCGCATTTCGGAACGCTTGTACGACGATGTGTGGACCTGCTGCTTCAAATGATCTTTCCATATAGATAAAAAGTTGTTAGCTTTGTAGTCAAATGTATTTTTCGTGAACCCGTGTGACATTCCTTTTTGTCAGTGTTTCTTTGCATTGTATAGTGTTATAATAAATACGTTTATGTAGATTCGTACCACCATGTATTGAAATACAGTGCTAAAAGCTAGAATTTAGAGGAAGAGATACTGTGGCCCAGTGCCATTTCGCTGCGCCATTGATGCATACCGGCCCGCGGCCGTACGAGTACCGGCTGGCGGCCGCACGAGTACCGGCTGGCGGCCGGCTGGCGACCGTTCCGGCCGAAATGTCGGTGATGGACCGGCCGGTCGTGGAACAGTCGCCGGCCGGTGCGAGTGTCTGAGCGCATGGTCATGGCGCAACTCATCAATTTCGCGCTAGAACCCATGGGTTGCGCCGTGAATCCATACAAAATACGATCCCGGGGTCCAGTTTTGAGGCGAATATCTCAGCCGTTAGAGCACTACCTGAGCTGCCGCTTGGGCAGTGGCTTAGTTAGGCTTGGTCACAAAATTGTGATGCACGTGAGAGCCCCATATGTCCAGATTTGCCTGGACGCTGCCTCCAAGGCATCCTTGCACCTTGAGAGAGATGTGGAGAAAAGTATGGCGACTTTATGACAGATTATTTACAAGGACTTCTACAGCAGATCATAGTTTCTATCCTATGGGATGGATTCTAAGGCCAAAGCAAATGAAACTGTAAGAAATGAAGTTTGAATGCCACAAAAACATATTCCCGGGACACCTGTTGGTTCGCGCATTCACAGCGATCGAAATAAGACTGCTAGGTCCGTACGAAACTATGCATTAGCCCAATTCCTGCAAAACCCACATATCGTATCGCAGGATTTGCAAGCTTGTGGGAAAGGAATGATGCTACAAGCTGCTGAATGAAGGGAGATAAGAAATCATGCACCTTTCGATACATGAGCATATGGACTCTATCACAAACAATATTTTCTTCAAACCGACCTCGATGTCACCGATCAGTTTCTGACGAGCGATTAGTTGCGGATTGCGTTGCCTTGCTGCAATAATTTCCTTCATTTTGTTCTTCAGTTGCAAAACGGTAGTTTTTTCATTAAGGGTTTTCGAGGTCTAAATATACGGTGTTGACTCCGAACAAACACGCGAAACAAAAAAGCCACTTTGTCAAGCTCCACTTCGTTTCGCTCCAGTCTATCTTCGCTACACGTTTGCAGTTTGAGATTCAAACTTGAAATTCCCTCATAGTTCAACATTTGCTTGATCTCATCATCGCACATGCTTGTTATTGATTGCATCCAGTCCCTGAAGAGTCAGACCAATATTCTGGAAACTACTAGTTGTAAAGCATATGCTAATGCTCCCGCTATAAATTTCTTTGACATATCCATATTAGAGGTATGGTGCTTGTCGGAATAAATTATGGAGCTTAGATAGTTCATTTTTAAAATCGTAACGACGGATTTGACCGCGGTCTTAGCGCCCACAGGAGCGTAAAACACTTATGCAAAAAGGCATCACCTCAGAGCTCAACTCAGCCACTTCATGTGCAAATACTATCAATGTGAGCAAAGAACCATTCAAGCAGCGACGAAAACAAAGAAAATCCGGTTGCCGGAAGACGCGTGCGTGTTGCGGCGGTCGCGCCATAGTCACAATTTTTCGAATGCCCTATACGCTGAGGAGACCCAAACAGAATGCGTAAAACAAAATAACTGAAACCCTAAAGCAATGAACAAGACTCTTTTATACAAGCCATAGATTTATACGGAACATACCTGTAATTAGGTAAGCTGGCAACCGCACCAAAGCCGTTCAATTGCACATCTTCATGAAGCTTAGATTTATACGGAACATACCTGTAATTAGGTAAGCTGGCAACCGCACCAAAGCCGTTCAATTGCACATCTTCATGAAGCTTCAATAGCTGAGAGAAATACTCTTTGCGTTGTTCCCTGTAAACTGTCATTTCAAGTCATTTGGTCAATCAGATACATAAAGATTACGACTCACCTTAAACGGATATTATCGTGTAGAAAGCGGAGAACTCCCAGATACTTATCAGTGGAGCTGATGAAGTCCTCAGACTCGTCTTCCTACAAAAGCACTTGGATCTGAGCGGGCGGCATGCATCGTCGGGTAACACAGACATACACCATACTTCCACCGAATGGAGATTACGACACATACCGATGAATCAAAAGATGATTTCGTCCATAGATGATGTAGAAGTGCAAATCTGATGCAGGTCTTGATCGAAGAAACGGAGAAGTCATCTCTGCAGAACGATGACCTACAAAAGCCAGAGCGGATGGCAGGAAATGACGGTCATCTAGATACAAATAAGCGCCCATAAGCAATGTTGGTTAGAAAAGAGAAGCTATTTTTAATCTGAGCTTCAGTCAAAAGCAGGGCTGCTCTAAAAACCTTCCATAACGTTGGCGAAAACACTGCCTTATCGCATCAACCCAAAAGATCTTCCGAAAAGATTAGTGATTCAAAAGAGGGCATATTTCCAACACTGTCTAGTCTAGATTGTAGTCAATAGCTTATGAGTTACCAAATCATCTGACATTCAAGGTCTGATGATTTTTTTGCGAGTCTGAGAGTGAGGGTACACAACGGAAGCCTTGAAGAAAGAATATAGATGTCTTTCTTCCAATAGAGATAGGTTTTGATGCCCTAATCCGCTCAATCTACGTAACATCAAGTCACTGTCATCGAGAGTGTCAATATTTTCACATTTTTAGACGGCGATAAATTCAACCAAAACAGTACCACAGATGAGATTCCAACACATGAACCTGCGATAGAAACTTCGATAAAGATGTAACATTTGGATACTACACAATCAACGGTAGAAAAATGATGACCTTATAAATCGAAGCAGCAGTGGATGTAACCTCATGTCTGTGTAGGAAGGATTGAGAAGTATGTCCGCCAACATCTTGTTGAACGTTTCGTGAGAAAGGCAAAATAAGAAACGCCGGATGCAAAGTAGAGACATAGTTCTTCGTGATACTCGAGAGGTAAACATGATCTGCTTCGTAGAAATACAGAGCAGAATGATTATCTCACAAGTAAGATCAGCCAGGGAGGAAAACAGCCCGTTGAAAAACTGCGAGCTGAAGGACTCGCCTTGCTCGATAACCAGGAGCTGTTTTTTCTAGAAAAAAAATTCAACAGAATAGGGCACAACTTATGGTCGAAAACCTACTTTGCCCCCACAGTCCTCAAATCTGCTGATAACATCATTGATATTTGTTTGTCCGGATTTTACTACGACATGCTCACCAATTTCTCTACCAAGACCGCTTAGTACGCCATGTACTAAACGACCCACCTCCGCGGCACTGCATTGGACCACTGCTGTTTTTAACTTTCCTGCAGAAGACCCATTAAATACTTCCTAAAACTGATGTGGGATTCGGGTAGATAAACTGATAAACTTACGTGACACTCGCCTCAGACCAAATATATTTTCACGCAATGTCGCACTTGATAAGAAGAAGTTGGTAATCTACATGACAACGAAACTGTAACGATTGAAGTAAAGGATAAGACAAACAGAAACCAACCTCTTCAAGAACGCCATTGAACACTGAATTCACGTTACTATCGATCTCAGCATCGAAAGCATCCAGAATGCTGAGATCTTTAGCACGGTGAACTTTAGCAGACCTATAAAAACTAAATGCTTTGAAAAGCCATTGTTGTGATACTGAAAAAAAGACATTTTTCCTCTTGGTAAGAGATAGACGACCTTCCTGAAATCGTCAGTATGTTACAGACGGCTGAGTTTTGCTTTCGTTTCTCTACTAGCAAAGATAGCGAAAATTGATACAAACACAGCAACGACACATTATGCGATTGCATTGGTTACAAGTACATGCACCTCTGGTCAGAAACCAACTGCTTTAATCATTGTAGAATATTCCAGAGTCTCGCCGTTCTGGGATTAAAAAATCTATGGATTTTAATAGCACACCTTCGCGAATCCTGAGTGCCGCCAAGTATCCCAATATTTCTCAAAGAAAGGACGCCGCCACCATCGGAATACGAGAACGAACTCATGTGGACAGTCCACTGTAAAAGGAAAAACCACAATTCGTATGAGTACGGAACTAAAAACGGAAACAACGAAATCTACGTTCAAACTTTTGAAGTCGCGCCTTTCCACCTTTGTTGGACCAATGCCAAAACGACTTCAGTTGACGTCGTTTTGGCGGCTCCATGTCAGGAGTCACGCCGCGCGCCGCGCCGCTTCGCCGCGCACGTCGCGTCTAAATTTTGTACCCCATAAAACTGCCCGGTGCTGAAGTGGCACGTCGCCAGTCTAGGGGGGTGGGGAGTGGGGCAGATACATGGCTCGTGCCATAAGTAAGAATGCGCCAGGAGTGCTGGCTTCTGTTTTGCTGGCATCGCTTGCGGCATCGCTTCGCGAAAAATTCGCGCCGACCGTGACTCCTGACCGTTCCCCGTTTTGGCAAAGTCAAAGGGCGGCGCTATTCGGCTATCCGGGCCTCAAAATTTTTTAGTCATGGATTTCGCTCAAACTTGGCCCAGAGGGGTTATCTGACATGTTGATCACGAATATCACCTTTTCTCCGCAGGAAAACGCCTCCCTGCAGAGTGACGGTAGGTGCACGGTAGGGGGTCAAAATCACGAATTTGCCCGAAACTTCGTCTAGAGGGCTTATTTGGCATGCTGAACACGAATATGATGTTTATTTCGTGCGACAGCGCCATCCGGTGGAGTTGCAGTACGACTACGGTAGGGAGTTAAAATCACGGATTTGCCCGAAACTTGGACCAGAAGGGTTATTCGGACCGCTGATGCCAAGTATCACATTGGTTTTGAACCGTAGCGCCAATTTTCTCGGGTTACGGTTGTTACACGATAACGTGTGTAAAACATAGTTCTGCCTGAAACGGGTGTGCGGCGATCCGGAAGATCGTGAAGTTTAGCACACACGACCACCGTCGCGCGCTACACACCCTGCTGCGGCTTTTGCCTAAGCAAAGCACAGGGGAAGGATATATTTGCCGGTTTGTGATTTTGACCCCTGCCGTAAACCTACCGTAACCATGCAGGGAGAAGTTTTCGTGCGGAGAAAGTTTGACATTTCTAATCAGCATGTCGAATAACCCCTCTGTGCGAAGTTACAGCGGATCTTAAGATTTTGACCCCCTACCGTATACCCACCGTAACCCGACAAAATGACGCTACGGTACAAAACCAATACGATATTCAGCATGAGCGGGCCAAGTTTCGGGCAAATCCGTGATTTTGACCCCCTACCGTGCACCTACCGTAACCCTGCAGGGAGGCGTTTTCTCGCGGAGAAAAGGTGATATTCGTGATCAGCATGTCAGATAACCCCTTGGGCCAAGTTTGAGCGAAATCCATGACTAAAAAATTTTGGGGCCCGGATAGCCGAATAGCGCCCTTTTTTCATATGTTAAGAAAGTATGAGCTTTTCAATCTTAGTACGTGATTCTTGCTCTTTTGAACAAACAGTATGTGAAATTCTCGGTCAAATTTTTCTCAATTTAAGGATTCTTTGAGACGTGCTAGTGAAGGACAAAGTTGGACCTCGCTATCCGCGCTACATGGCAGGGCCAGCCGCGCATGGGTTTTCGCCCAGCCGCCCTGAGCGAGCGGGTGGCCGCAAATTGTCTAAGTGCAATGTAAAGCCGATTGTATACCTGGTAGGACCTCCCAAGCTGTGAAGGAGTTCGACGTTTTCGCCGGATGCCTAGCTAAAAGCCGGCCAGGCCAGATCCCCCGTCGTCTATTTCCGGTCGCTAGGCGGTTTTCCTCCATACCCGGATCAGCAATCGCTCCGTGGAAGTCAGGAGTAGGGGCCTAGTAAGTCTGTTCTTGTAGGGAGAACTTTCATTACTCCGTCAGCAAGAAGATATGAAAAAGTCCAGTACATCGGATCCCGTACGGCGCTGGGTGTAGCAAGAACGATGTCGGGTCCTCAGGGCGCCTTATGGATCGGACAAAAAGACATGTCTGCCCGGACGACACGTCATGGAGACTGCCTCATGCTCCGCACCTACATGGCCAGGACAGTCCCCACAAATGCCGACCTCTAGCCTCTTCTCGACGCTGCAGAGCACATCAAGTACCACGTCATCGCTCCACAGAAAACGAAGTCTAGGAAGAAAAACGTGCAACAGATGAGTGATGGGACCCTTATCATCGTGGTGAGAAGGTTTCATCACAAGCGTTGGAGGTCTTGGCATTGTCATGCACCCATCTATCGTCCATCTTGTCGATTTGCATGGGATTCTATCACTTCTACTAACCATCCTACAAGGCGCTTCCACGTCAGAAGACCATCAGCATTATTAACTGATACTCTCCAACCTCGCTAGCTGATGAATCAGAACTAGATGCTTTTTACGAAGATGTGGAGGAGGTCGCCCGCAGCGAAAAGTCCTTCTACAAGTTTGTTGTGGGCGACTTCAATGTGAAATTCTGGATGCTACTAGAAAAGGAATATAGGATCGGGAAGTTTGGATATGGGCTCCTGAACGAGGACGGCAACCGTCTCGTCGGGCTTCTCTTTGCCGCACGACTTTTCCATGGAAACTCCATCTTCATGAAGAAAGAACATCGCCTGTGGACATGGGAATCGCCCAACGAAACGACTCATGCGGAGATCGGTCACACTCTCACCAACCGGAGATGGAGCTTGCTCGATGTCTTAGTAGTTTCATCCCTAAGCAGTGGCTCCGATCACCGCCTCCTTCGAGCGAAGGTACGACTCAGTCGAAAGCGAAAAGAATGGTCTGCCACAGTGCCGCAAGAAGGAAGGAAATCGTTTATGACGGTAACAGGAGGAAAGAGCTCATACCAAGTTTGACTGACCAATGTGGAGGACTCAACGTACGACTACGATCGTCTTCTGAAAAAAGTGCGAGTGCAGAGAGTACACCTCAGTGATTTTCGAGAAGAACTTGGAACGCATTTCGAAGACCACCAAGAAATCGCTCCAAAGAAAAAGATTCCTGGGGCAGAATTCAAATGCACCATCTCGAGCGACTGATAGCCAACGCCAATTGCAGAACAGCTTTGTAGGAGGATCTCAGGAAGTACAGGCAAGTCAAGATACTGGAAGCAGCCGAAGAAAGACGAAGTCTCAAGAAGTTGCCGAGGGGACCTCTGTGAATACCACGTGCCGCTGGCCGCATTATCGAACAAAGACGGGACCCCGATTTTCTCCCGATATAAGAATCTATTAGGAGAAACTTCTACACGAACCTCTTCCGCTCACTAACACCCGTGCCGTTGCCCGTAGTTCCCACTGATGAAGTACCACAACGCATTCTACCTCCTACCGTCGAATTTCTTCGAGCCGGAGGACAATGTCTACACGCTCGCGTCGCACCTACTTATCTTCAGAAAGAGAGGATTCTCGATTAGTGAAGAACGTCAAGAATCGTCCTTCTCCTCAAGAAGGGTGAACGGGAGGACCTTCGGAACTATCGTCCAATATGTCTGCTGAGTGTGCTGTACAAACTTTTCACGAAGATTATCCTCGTATACCTAGGACACTGGAAAGCCAAACTCCCAGAACAAGCTGGATTTCGCAAAGGTTCAGCTGCATTGACCACATGAGACGGTTTTGAAGGTTATGGAAGTTGCCTGGAGTACCGACTGCCTCTCGTCCTAACCTTCGTCGCTACGAAAAAGCCTTTGACAGCATCGAAACCCGCGGTTCTGTCAGCGCTAGTCGTTTAAGGAGTGGATCCAGCTTACGTGAGGATGTTAGCCGACTGCTGCAAGGACTGTACAACGAGGATGCAGCTGTTCCATCGCTCCCTGACCATCCCAGTTAGGAAGGGGTCGGATAAGGCGACACAATTTCGCTGACGCTGTGCGCCGCGGCCCTGCAGTGGGCGATGAAGTCACTGGACTGGGACGAAAGAAGCATACGAGTTGATGGGAGATTCCTGTCGAGCCTTCGTTTTGCGAACGACACTTTCCCTTTTCAAGCAGTATTACTGAAGCAGAGAGATGCTGGAGGAACTAAACGAAGCAGGGAAGAAGATGGGACTGCGAATAAATTGGAAGAAGACTTTGTACATGAAGAACGCTCTTTGCAAAGGTGCAGAAATGGAATTGGATGGCACCCTCGTTATGGAGACGTTTTTTACGTGTATCTCGGACGTTCCATGAACATGGAACGAGTTTAAGGAAGAACTAACAGGAGAAGAAGAGCAGCCTGGGCTGCTTTCGGGCCTTTGAAGGAAGCTACCGACCAACTGACGAACCCGGAGCTTCGTGCCTATAGTGTGGACCCCGGCCAGGTTCTCATATGAACCCCGCGCCGCGCACGCAGCGCGCGCGTCGGGCTGCTGTCTGGGCGCCCTCGTGTTTTCGTGTCCTTTCGCATTTTTAAGCTTCTCTTTTCTTCTTTCTCCGTTCTTTGTGCTTATACTCTGTATTTCAGGCAAGAAAGCCAAGAGAATGGCCGATAACCGTTGCAGCATGCCGTCTTCCTTGTTATTGAACATGTTTGAAAGGCTAAACTAGGTAAGACCCGGTCTGCCGGTTGCTGCAGCGGACCCCTCTCTTGGATTTTCCTTCTAGATTAGCCCAAGTCCTGCCCGAGAACTCGCCGAGGTCTTGTAGCCATGTAAGATAAGCGAAACGGACTCCTTGTTTGACCAATCTGGCTAATTCAAAATGATCAATTACGAGTGGCAGGTTTGTTGAAACACGGGGTATCCTTTATATTACAGAATTTCGAGACCGGATCGCACATAATGTGTGAATAAGACTAAACTTGTTCTTTTTTGTCTTCGTGCTTCAAATAATTCTAAATGAAAGAGATCGCAAGTGTGACGGGCCAGATACACGATAATAAACACGAGATCAAGCTTGTTTATACAATGTGTGCGAAGCTGTCTCGAGTATCGTCCCCTCCACAGCTCGTGCTACCTTTGGTCTGCGTCTCAGACCTGCCACGTGTGGCTAACATGTTGGCAACGTGGCAACGACATGTTTGCAACATGCCACAACATGTTGGCAGAACATTTTGGCCACGCCAACATGTTGCTGCATGTTGCCAACGTTTGCTGCCAACGTTGTCATCGTGTTAGTTACCCTCGATATCATCCCATATGTCTTCCCTCAACATGACGTGGATTACGTGGCTTGATGAGGCGCCGCCTCGCCTCGGGCTTGCGCCACGTTGCGTGCGCATCTTCGGCGTGATGTGGCAACAAGAAGAACATGGAAAAGCCTGCGCCACGTTGTGTTGAGCGCCACGTCGCGCCAAATGATGCGCTCGCAACGTGGCGCAAGGCCGAGGCGAGGCGGCGCCTCATCAAGCCACGTAATCCACGTCATGTTGAGGGAAGACATATGGGATGATATCGAGGGTACATGTGGTACGTCCGCGGCGCCAGAAGGGTAGCAGCAAATGTGGAAGGGACGATACTTTAGTCATGAAATATATGATCCTAGGGAGGGGTCCGTTGCAGCAACTGGCAGACCGGGTCTTACCTGGTTTAGCCCCTCAAGCATGTTCGATAACAAGGAAGACAGCATGATGCAGCGGTTATCGGCCATTTGGCTTTCTTGCCTGAAATACAGAGTACAAGCACAAAGAACGGAGAAAAAAGAAGAGAGAAGCTTAGAAGTGCGGAAGGACACGAAAACATGAGGGCGCCTAGACGGCAGCCCGACGCGCGCGCTGTGTGCGCGGCGCGGGGTACATATGAGAAACTGGCCGGGGTCCACACTACACCTGTTTGACTCAACTCCCGGCCGTCTTTACGCAGCTGAGACTTCGCCGACAACGCAGCCACGTTTAAAGCTCTAAGGACCACCCATACAGCGCTAGAGCGTAGTCTTCTGAAGATGACCCGACACAAACAACGTCTTGTCGGACCTCGCAGTACGGATGTGAGAAGAATGTCCCGTCTTCGTGACCCAGCGAATAGATTGAAAGCGAAGCATTTATAGGCCGGTCACATTATGAGGAGAACAGACGACAGATGGACACTAAACATCGGAGTGGATTTCTCGCGAAGCAAAACATCCCCAAAGAAGTCATCCAACGAGATGGGCAGACGTGTTTGTGGAACGGATGGACCAGCTGAGAAATCAGCTGGATACGACTCTCGCACCTGGGAACTCGTGGGAGCAGCCACCGACTTTGGTCAAGAAGATCGTGGGTGTCTGAAGCGAGGACAGGAAATAATTGAAACTTCTGCGCTGTGGCCCGCACGCCACGTGAACCCCCTAGCGATCTGAGAAAACCGAATTTTAGCAATCACCACCTTCACTAGTGAACATGGAATTGGTCCTATATAATCACAGCTACGACTCGTGACGCACATCGAGACTCCTGCAGACGCCGGGAGAACCATGGAGCAGAAGAAGGGCTACCTGCTGCTCTTCGAACAATGCCTGAAGGCCACAGTTCAAAATCCGTCTCCCAAGGTCTCAAGACCAGGCCTTGTACAGCCTCCTCGACCGCACTAAACCAAGATCCAATGGCTCTTTCTTTTCGAGGACAGGCATCATCTATCGCTCATCTAACTGAAAGATGTTCGAGGTACCCGATGCAGTTGCGAGGGCAGTGCAAGCGAATGCGCTTGGTCTATGAACAAATGTCAGCCATGCCACCAAAACGGCGGCGCGAAGTGCTCAATCTGCAGCGCCGATTACAACTCCTATGTCCGTCGTGTGGGACATGGCATACCGCGTTCAGGCTTAGAAAGGTGTCATCTATCAGTTTTGAACACGTTTCTTCAAGCTATTTCCTCGTTACCTTATATATTTAGATTTAGATGTAGTTACCAACGCCGACAAGTCCCTCTCGCCTTCCCACGCACCACCACATTGCCACGTCCGTCCTTTCACTCCACCGTAATCAACTCTTCAGCTCTAACATCGTCATCTCTCCCGTCGATCACCATCGCAGCAGCAAAGCCCGAACGTTCATTTCATCGCCACACGTTAGCATGATCACTTCAAACTTGTGTTCTTGTTTGCTTGTCAATTTCTTATTCTTTTCTTGTTATCTGTTGTTAGCTCTAGAACTGAGCCACAGTGTCGCATTTTGCTTAGTAAAGGCGACCTGTTCGGGTATTCACTGTTTGCATAGCGTCCATTTCAGACGCTACTCCTATCTGTCGAACAGTGATAAGACTAAAGCGCTTCTACCACAACTACCACATCACACCCACGACAGTGCTTCTTGGGGCAACTCCCGTACTCACAACAACTGGAGACCTTTACACATCTAAAACGTCATCAAACACCTAATCCCGTGCTCAGCACCAACTCATACAAGGAAACGGTCAGAAATCGAAGTGGCCGATCAAACAAACTGCGTACCATCAGATGCAATATGAAACGCTGACTTCGAATCTGCGTTCCGTATCTGTTTAGCGCCTATGCGCGTGAAGTTATGAGCCGTTGAAGGCCATATTTTGCTGAGAAATTGTGCACACAAAGCGCAAATTTGGCAGTACAGAGCCATGTTCGGTTTAATGCTGGGTCAAAACACGCAGCTAGGTTACTTTATATTCTTACCAAAGCTGAGCTGAAAGTGCAACAATGTGCTCAGTTTCGCAATTTTTATGTACGATTTCTTTGCAACAAAATTGCCCGTAACTTCGTTCACAAAGGCGCTAAGCAGATTTGGAATACAAATCCGAAACCAGCGTTGAATGCTGCATCGAGTGGCAGCAGCTTGCTTGAACTGGACATTTCGACTTCTGACCATTCCCTTGTTATAGTAAGTTTCAAGTCAGTTTAGGCGGAAACCGGACTGGTGGGAGGCCGCTTCGTAACGATTCGCGCCGCTTTGCAGTCTGCATCTCTTCATTCTAGTCTCTCTCGCTGAGCCAGTGGCGGTGCGGACGCGCCGCTCCACTTGCGATGTTTCGCCTACTCCGGGTTGAAAAAGACTGTACGGTGGCGGTCGCAGGATCCCCGTCCGGGGGAGGCGACAAAAAAATTTTTCAGATTAAGGTGCGTGGCTTAGCCACGTGCTTCGAAATTTTTTTGGGGTGTGCCTCATAATTTTTGCGGGCCCATAACCCCTAAAATTTAGGAAAAGTTTCTGCCCCTTCCCTCGAAAAAAGTTTTTTACAAGGCTTTTGAGAATTTTAAAAATTATTTATTTTTTACAAGAATGAACAAGTCACTTTCACATTTTTATAACCCATGTAAGTAAACTTTCAAAAATTTCGCGACTAGCCAAGTGCTTAGAATGGAGGTTGGCTTAAGATAGCACACCTCTGGCAGTGACCTCCGCCCGCCGGCAGGAGCCGTTGCCCTCTACCCCCTTTCCCCTTCCACTTTTGTATATAATTTGTATAATAAATATAAGAGCAAGACCTATGTAGACCCGCTACACATCGTTAAAAAAGTAGCAATTTTATACTGACATAGAAGTCCCAGGAAGATACTTTTCAAGATTCTAAGACTAAATTTTATTCTAATCAACTTTTGATATGGATCATAATTCTTTAATCCACTCCTCTTTCCACTCCACAATTCTTTAATCGTCTGGAAGGAGTCACACAACAACAAATGAAGGAGAGTGTGTGAGTTTTATACTTGTTGATACAGTGCTGGCCATAATTATAAAGCCACTCGAAATCGTCGTAATTTTCGTTCTTGTCAGTGAATTTGTCTGAAACTGTATTATGCGCATGTCAACTTACATGACCCCTCAAAGCGGCTTTGAGGGGTCATGTTGAGTTTCAACGGAGAAAAACGAAAAAGTTTGAAAAATCTTTTAATGGAAGCTGGACAAAATTATAAAGCCACCTGATTTCTAATTATTAGGTTGATGCAAAAGAAATGGCCGATTTTCCAAGCCTTTTTTCAGGGCAACTTTTTTCCATCAATACTTCTTCTTTACAATGGATGTAGTATATTGTCGCAAAGCTGTTTTCATGCTCTATCTAACGGTGCTTGAAACGGGCTCTCATCCTCATTTCTTATAAAGTTAGTAAGCTGTAAATAACTGCATCCAAATTCAGAATTTCTTTGCACTCACTTTTCCAGCCAGAATTCAAGCGCGTATCAATGGGATTTCTTCAAAAATTTAGCTATTGTATGTAATAGAAATTTTCTACATTATGCATACTTAACTGCATTCTTTAAAGCTATCCAGACTGAGATATCGGAGCCTAAATATGGGTAGCTGTTGCCGTCATTTTATGACCCATAATTTTCTTTTGAGGAAGTCAATCGCCAAAGCTTTGCTCAATTCTGTAAGCGTAGAGCTAGGACATTTATTAGCAGTTTTTGAAAAAACATCCAGCTGTTCAGCACGAAGAAAATCAGAAAATTCTATATTCCGGACCTTGAGGCACACTGAAAAAATGTTGAAAAAACTGAGAAATTTTAAATTTCAATTTTTTCTTTCTCGCAAGCTTTTTTGTTTAGTTTCTTTTTAATGTGTTTTGTACTACTGACTTGCGGCTACAAGATAGGCCACTTTTCATTCATACTAAGAAACTCTGAAGGAAGTTATGAATTGTCAAAAACAAGGTTCCCTCAGAAGAACCCTTTTTGTCTTTTAGTCCGTATTTCTCTTCCCGTTCATGGTTTGAGTATAACTAAGTATGCGCTGTATTGCGAAAGGATTGCTGCTTCTGGAGGTCTTTACCGCATTCAGAAATGTGGATCTTTCAGAAAGTTATAGCACATCAAAGTGAGAATTCGCAAATCGGCCATTCCTTTTGCATCAACCTAATACTATCGCATTTGTTGACTCTCAAATTTTTTTGTACAATTATATCCTAAAAAAATGAAACATTTGCAACACCTACGGCCTATCATCCTACTCAAATAACGCGATCGCTGCATTATTTGGTTTTAAAGCATCAAAAGTCAATCTGTTTCAACAAACAGCTGGTTTAAGGAGTTTTCAAGCTTCTGTTTATTTCATATGGTAGTTATAAAATCTACTGATCCTTTTTGATAAATGAGGTGAAGAGCGCTCTCATAAACTCTGCGTAGTCGCTGATATTAACAGACAAGCTCTAACCTCACCATAGGATTGACGCACTTTTGCATCACAAAACGATTTTCAAGCAACAGAAAATACTCGTAATCGCTAATATTGACGGACAGACTTCAACCTCACCATAAGGTTGTTACGTTTTTGCTCCACAAATCTCTCTTTGCAATGTTCATAAAGCGCTGGATTTGATTTGTCACACTGCCTACATACTGCCTACAGTGATGCAGCTTTTGCAACTACTTCTGATTTTCTCTAGTGATGCAGTTGCGATTTAGAACTGAACAACTTTTCACGAAAATTCCCTGCGAGCGAAGATTCGAAATAACCCTAGATCTCCTTATTTCCCTTTATGTTTCATTTCATATTTCACCCGATGAATGAGATTAGCTAAGATTTCAAAGTTTTAAGCGTCTCCTGTTTTATCTCGTGATCTGAGTTGGCTTTGATTGTGCAGGGTGCTTCACTCAACATTCAGTGGATGTCAACTGCGGCTGAACCAGAGTGCTCAAACCCGAAATTTTTTCCTAGCCATGCGCACAAGTTCACTGTTGTATGGGTGTCGTAATGGCTACATTACAGCATTTTCTGTTGCATGAAAATCGAGTTTTGTAGTGCAAAAGTGCGTCAACCCTATGGTAAGGTTGGAGTTTGTCTGTCAATATCAGCGACTACGCAGAGTTTATGAGAGCGCTCTTCACCTCATTTATCAAAAAGGATAGTAGATTTTATAACTATTATTTGAAATAAACGAGAGCTTGAAAACTCCTTAAACCAGTTGTTTGTTGAAACAGATTGACTTTTGATGCTTTCAAAAGCGAATAATGCAGTGATCGCTTCTATTTGAGTAGGATGATAGGCCATAGGTGTTGCAAATGTTTCATTTTTTAGGATGTAATTGTACAAAAAATTTGAGAGTCAACGAATGCGATAGTGATTAGAAAATAAGGTGGCTCTATAATTTTGTCCAACTTTCATTAAAAGCTTTTTCAAATTTTCTCGTTTTTCTCCGTTCAAACTCAACAAGATTGGAAGCCGCTTTGAGGGGTTATGCTAGGTTGACATGCGCACAATACAGCAAAGTTTCAGACAGATTCATTGACAAGAACGAAGATTACGACGATTTCTAGAGTGGCTTTCTCATTATGGCCAGCACTCTATATCTGCTAATAGCCGTGTGCAAAGAAAATTTTTGATCCTTTTCAGAAAGAATAAATAAAGCAAAATAAAATAAACATCACAGTCCTGCGAACAGTCCCATTTTGTCAATTCTTTCTTTCGTAAAGCGCTCGCATTTTCCGTGATCCATGATGTGTGCGAGAATCCGTGAACACTGAAGGCGTATTTAGCAGCCGTAATTCCGTGATTGCACATCCGTAAGTTTTTTTTGTAAATTTCCGTATTCTGTGACCCGTGAGTCCGTGGATCCGTGCATCCGTGATTTTCTATAACTTAATTTTATTTTTTCTTTCCTATAATTAGAAAATGAACTTGTTCGCAGTTGCTAGCTCAAAATGAAAAACTGCAGTATTAGATCCAAAAAGATAAATTTGCTGGCCCACTGCAGATAAAATTGGCTGGGAAGTATCGACCAGTAGTAATGCTTCGACCTCTTAGAAAATTCACCAAAACCCAATTGTGCATACTGATTCTACGATTATGACATGCGTTTAGCAGCAACAATCGTGACCGATATCTGCCGCTGCGTGTGTTCCTATGTAACTTTATTCAACAGACCATTACTTAGAGGGCACTAGTATCCAATAGCAGATTATGAGAAGTTGGAATATTTATACACATTCCAAAATAAATATAATCATAATGACCAACTTCTAAGTGCATGCAATGTTTCTTCATACCTCTCGCGCACGATCGACAATTTCTTCTCTCGTCGAAATCTACGAGACAGATGCTCCTAGTCCTTTCCAGGCTTCTTTCCAGCACAACCGTAAATTGCTTCAGCAGCGGTATCCTGCCAAACATA